TACACAGCAGGCCTCCACGCCTTTGCCTTTGCTGTGCCCTATTCATGGACCACCCTCCCTCTAGTGATCTGGAGTGCCTGCCCTCCCCTCCTCCAGGCCCCTGGTCAACATACACCCCATCCCCCATTCCTTGCCTTATTTCTTACCTTAGCCTTTACCATCACTTTACCATCTTTTAATGTTTATTGTTCATCTTGCTAGAAGTGAACTTCATGAGTATCTAACGGAGTCAGAGAGGTGTATTGAGACTTCAGCTAAGTGCCTCTGGCAAGTACCTTCCTTGGGCAGGGAAATTGCATGGATAAGAACAGGGGCCTCAGAAGCCAAGTCCCTTTTCTGGAATCCTGGCTCTGCTGCATCCTAACTGAGTAATATTGGATAATCAACCTAACTTCTTTGGTTCAGTCTCCTCTGTGGAACAGGGACAGAGATGCACTAAGGTCAGCTGTGAGAACTAGATTCTAATGTGAGAAGTGCTGGTGAGTATGGGGTAAATGCGCTAGCTACCATCTGCCTCAGTTCCTAGTTGTTAATGCGTGGAGGGGTCAGTGGTTTCCCATGAGGACAACCCTGCTTGACTCTTTAGACCCCACAGCCAAGGCAGGCCCCTCCCTGTGTGGGTCCCCCACCCCTGGCTCCTGGCCGCCTCTCACAGGCTGAGGTCGCAACTGATGCTGGTCTGCAGCAAGTAGGCCTTGGCATTCTGCACAGCCAGCTCCCGAGGCTGCGGCTCAGGCATCTCCATACCGAAATTCATGAAGCCCATCTCCGAGGGTGAGAAATGCAGGGCAGGGTCATCCCTTAGGTAGGGCCCATGTTCTGTGTTTTGCATGAACTGCGGGTCATCTGTCTGGTACATGCTGTACTGGCCCAAGACATTGGCCCCGGGGTCCTGATAGACAGGGGATTCCAGTTGTTGGAAGAAGCCGCCTTGGCTCTGCTGCAGCTGCTGCACCTGCTGCAGCTGCTGCATTAGGTTGGTGGTTTGTTCCTCCACTGGGATTCCGCTTTCATCCAGGTAAGTCCGGGTCTGGAACTGCAAGGGAAAGCCTGCGCTCGAGGGCTGGTACTCCACGCCGCCCATTATGCCTTCCTCCGCTTGGTACAGCGGCAAGTTCTCATCTTCGGGCAAGTTGCCCCCCTGTGACCAGCGGAGGTTGGTCTGGCTCGCCCGCAACTCCTGACTGGGCCGACTGGGCCGGCTGCCCCGACTGCCCCTTTGCTGGTTCAGCAGGGCCTGCTGCACCTCGTCGGGGAACGCCGCCTGGGCCTGCGAGGGGTCCCAGCTGCGCCGCTGCGCCTGGGCCTGGGAGCCCCTCCGGCTCGAGGACTGCTGGGAAGGGGCCTCAGGGTTGGGCGGCGGCGGGTCCCCCATGGCTTGAAAGGGGGCGCAGACGACTAGAAGGAAGGCTTAAGAACAGGAAGGCCAGACCAGTCACCCGCGGGTTCACACCCGGCTGCCGCAGAGCCGGGGTCGCCAGCCTTTAAGGTCTGGAGGGGCGGGCCGTTACTAAACCGCGCGGGACGCCCGAGCGGCGTGTGCGCGAGCAGCGTGTGCGCAGGCGCAACCAGGGGCTTCCAGCAGAGGGCCACAGGGCACCCACAGGGTGGCAGAGAGCAGACGGCACCCGTGCCCAGACCGTTTCCTTTATTGTTTTTAAGGCAAAGCACCCACCGCCCGCCCCGCCCCCCACGTCCCCGTCAGCTGTTCCCCTTGGTCTCCGACTCCCCCGCTTCTTCCGTGACGGGGCTAGGGGTCTTCACAGCGTCTTCCCCCGCAGGGGCGAGGGTCTGGGGGCTCCGCTCCTCCTTTGAGGTCAGCCCGCCGGCTGCTGCTTCCTGGTGGCAGAAAGCAAGGGGCAGTACATCAAGAGTGTGGTCGCACCTCCAAACCCTCATCGCCCCACTCCCCCGGCGTGGCATACACTTCACCCCGAGCTTTGAGTCTTCCACTGCATCTCTGACCGTCACCCCTACCTTAGGCAAGGGCCCCTCAAGACTAGAGTCCAGGAGTGCGGCCTCGGTCAGCCCAGAGTCGTCATCCATGCTGATGAAGATGGCCGGGGTCTCGCACTCAGGCCCCTCCTCCCGAAAATCCATGGTTTCCTCCGTGGGGGCAGGACCCTGTCGGGCTGAGGACGAGGAAGACGCCACGGGGGCTCCCGAGCCTCCAGGCTTCAGCTTTTGTTCCTCCTCTAGCTGCCGCTTTAAGGCCTTCTCCTGGGCCAGCCGCAGGCCAATGAGGTCCTGAGGGGGCCGAGGGGCGGGAGCAGGGGCCAGAGCCAGGGGTTCCAGGTCGTCCTGGGGATGGGGAGGGGCACACAGAAGCTCAGGGGGAGTGCTCGCAGAGGATGGGGTAAAGGAGTCAGAGACCACCCTGCTGCGGAGAGCAAGGAGGGTGCTAGGTCAGGAGCGTCTTATCGTGAGCGCAGGGAGCAATTAAAAGGGCCGCCCTCTTTCAGTAGGAGGGTATGCTGACACAGGTAGCCTAGGCAGCCGGCACCTCTCAGGGTGGGAGGAGGTGGGAGGCTCTTGCCGGCTCGGATTGACAGGGTTGGGGAACCTAGACTGGTGGGCTGCAGGACCCTCACCTCTTCCAGGGACCCTGCAGGTGCCTCCTTGGCCTCTGGCTCCTGCTTGCCACTGGCCTCCAAGATGGTCATGATCGAGTTGGGGATGTGTGCTTGCTAGGTAAAGAGTAGGAGGAGGCGCTGTGGAGAACTCTGGCTCCGAGGCCCTCTTAGGCACCCCCAAAACCTCTAGAGTCCTTGATCTTCTGTGGCACAGCAGGGATCCCTTTGCACCACCCCCAGAGCTACCCATCCACACCCTGGGGTACCTGGTGGGGGGTGAAGGAGCGCACGTGGGCCAGCAGGGGCTCCCGGAGCTCAGGACACTTGTCAAAGACAGCTCCCAGCTGCTGGGGTGGCAGCTGCAGGATGACCTGGAAGCTCTGGGGCTTGGTTCGTTGGCAGCACTTGATGAAGCCCTCCCACACTTTGGGATACTTCCACACCTGGACCAGGCAGGGAGGGAGCTGTTGGGAGGAGCCGCAGGCAGCCACCCAGTGGAAACTGGGCAAAGACCTTGCTGAGACCATAACCCAAATCCCATTGTCTGAGATTCTTCTGGGCTATACACAGCTCTGCCATCCCACTGGGGGGGCTCTGCCTTGCCAATCCAGGCAGCTGGAACATGAAGACAACTTGGGAAAGGAAAACACTAAGACCCCTCCTCCCCTCCCGCCAGCTCTCCTTTGTCAGTCTAGACAAGTGCTCCACAAGCAAGGTCTCATGTATTCTCAAAGTAGCCTCAAGAGGGCGACCTTACCCCTGTTAAAAAAAAGGCGGAAGAAGTACAGGGACTTGTCCACGGTTACAGGAGGTGGGGGCAGAAACCAAATTTGAACCTGTCTGCTTCTGCATTGAGCTTCTAAGCCAGATGTTGCAAAGCAGCAGTCTTTGTGCTACTATCTGGTGCTTGCAGGTGAGATTTTTTGGGGGGTCATTATTTCTTCTTTGGTACTGAACCCAGGGGTGTTCTACCACTCAGCTACACCCCAGCCCTTTTTATTTTGATAGGGTATTGCTAAGTTGCTGAAGCTGGCCTCAAACTTGTGATCCTCCTGTTTCAGCCTCCCAAGTCAATGGGATTACAGGCATGTACCACCATGCCCAGCTTGGTATTTCTAAAAGCTCTGATTTCTCATCTATTGAAAACTGGCCTATCTTTCAGCTGTGGGATGCATCTTGGCCAGGTGCAGTGCTGTGTGCAGCCCCTCAAGCCTACATCGCTCCTACCACCCAGCTGCCCTCACTCACCACCCTGTGGCCTTCCGAGTCACAGGCCCCTGGAGCACTGTGCTTTCTTGGCAGGAGGCAGAGCAAGGGGTCTCTGATGGGCCTGCTCAGCCAGGCTCCCCTTGGGGGGAGGAGGGCTCAGGTGGTCTCCAGTCTCTCCTCAGCACCACCTCTGCAGTCTGTTCCTGGGGGCCAGGGCTGGATGGCCAAGGGCAGGTTACCTGCTTCATGATGAGGCGGGAGAGGATGTTCATGACGAAGCCCCCCAGGCGGGGGTACATGGTCAGGGACTGGATGACGGTCCTCATGAGCAGCATGGGCAGGGGGCTCTGCTCCATCAGCTGCTGCATCACCACGGCCAGCACCTCCGACGTGTATACGTTCCGCTCCGCAAAGCACAGGTTGGTGGCTGTGAGGAGGCGGAGAGTGGGCCTGTCCTCTCTTTGCCCAGCCACCCCGGGGAGTGGGAGTCCAACCACCCTTGGAGAGCCTCAGCCCTGCTGCCACGTGTGAGGACAGGGGCCGCCTCAGTTCCCTGGAGCTCCCAGGCCCCAGCAGAAGGCCCTCTCCCGAGGGCACATTTCAGCTTGGCCTTTGGTCACCTATGGGCTTAGTGCTAGGGAGGAGACATGTCCCACTACCTGGAAACCTCATGCCAGGCACACTGGGGACACCATAGCCCCTTTGAGGACAGCCCTGGGAAAGTAGCTACTGACTTCCATAAGCCTCTCCAGAGGGGACAGAAGGTGGCCCTCCACCAGGCTGGTCAGGAGCATAAGGCTCTGTGCTGGTGCTAGGATGATGGGGGATACCAGGGCTGGCAGGTGTGAGGACACAGGGACACAGCAGGTTCTCAGGCAAAGGAGGGACAAGATGAGGATGGGGCTGGGACATATGATGAATCCCCCAGCAGCAGGAGCCAGAAAGGCTGGCCTTGGGGTCTGTACCCGCAGGAGTGGTGGTAGCACCCCATCCACTGTGCTAGTAGGGAGACCCAGGAGCTGCCTCAAGCCCACCTTCCCCAAACACCACTTGCCATGTGAATCTGTCAACAAGGAAGTCTTTATTGAGTCATAAGAGATCCCCCAATCCTTGAGAGATTAGTGGAGAATGGGGTGGGATGGTCCTACAAGGAACAGGGGGCCCAGAGAGGAAGGAGGGGTGTTCTTCAGGAAGACAGACCCAGGAAAAAGGCTGAAGGGACAGAGGAGAGTGCAACCTGAGGACCTGCCGGAAACTGAGGAGGCACCTATTCCTCGTTCTCATGACCAGAGGCCATGGGTCCAGCCTGGTCTGCTGCCTAGAGGCCTCCAGAGCTAACCCCCTTCCCTAGCCCAGCCTCCTCCAGGGCTGCCCGCTCAGCCTCTAATATGCTCTCCACATAGGAGCCTAAGGGGTCTCCCACAAGCTCAAACCTGACCCTCTTTCCCCAAGAGGACCAAGAGAGATCAAGGACAAATCACCACTGGGGCCTATAGGACTCCATGTGGGCAGCCATCCTGGCCTCCACCTGGCTCTGGCTGGTGCAGCCCTGGACCACTTCACCCCTACTTAGCCTTCCTGCTCTCCTTGGGCTACTACCAAGTCCCTCAGCCAGGCTAGGTCAGACAGGTCCTCCTGGCTGCTCTATCAGAGCCCTGTCCTCTGAGCTGAGATTGTCCCAGCAAAGTGTCTCCCTCTCTGGACTCTGAACCTGGAAGGACAGGACTGGGTCTGACACCATCTCTGCATGATCCCAGCATCAGCCAGAATAGGGCTGAGCCAAGTGCTAGGTGGGTCTAGTTAGAAGTGGGGGAGCACTTGCTGAGTATGCATGAGGCCTTGGGTTCCATCCCCAGTACCCACCCCCGCCAATGGGGCATTCAAGGAGTCTAATGACCATTCCTGGGCCATGACCTTTTCTTCCCACTGCTATTCATTAGATGCCAGTGTGTGTATATGTGTGGTGGGGGCTGAACGGCAGGGGCACTGGCTCCAAAGTCACAGGTGAAGACCGGACTTCTCAGTTTGGGTCTTGTGGTGCTGGTGCTAGTGCAGCCAGGACTACCAGGGCCTAAGCAAGAAGTATGCTCTGGGCCGGGCTGGGCTGGGTGGGCTGGTGGACTGGGTACAAGGATTCAGCAGGAATGGTGGTCGTGTGCAGCCGAGAGCCCGGCAAGAAAAAGGGGTGTGTGGAGAGGGGCAGGCCCTGATGAAGCTTTCAGGGCCCTGGCTGCTGGCCACCTGCATGACTGTTGGCAAGGCCCTTTTCCTCCCTGGGCCATGGTTTCTCGACCCTAGGCCGGTCAGGGCTTCTGCTCCAGGTCCAAGGACAGTCTTAGTGGGTATGATGGAGTTTGTTGATCCCCTCAAACTGTACGCAATCTATCCGAACATGTTGCCCTTGGGAACAGGCCGGAACTTTGCTCAGTACTTCAAAGGGGTTGAGGAGAGGAGGGGGTGTAGCTGGTGGAAAAGCACATGCTTAGCACGCATGAGGCCCCGGGTTCAATCCCCAGCACTGCAAAAAAATGCAGGTTGCAGGTGGCACGAGGAGCCTAATGCCCGCACTCCTGGACCATAGCCTACCCACTCCTCTTCCCCCCACTGCTCTCCCACTAGAGGCCTCGGTGCCGCCCCAGTTTCACGTCTCTATGAGCTCCTCTCCTGCCGCAGGGGTCTCGGAGAGCACCTGCTGAGGAGAGCTAGGGAAAAGCACGCTGGAGAAGCCACTCCATGCCAGAACATGAAGGAAGAAGCTCAGAGATGAGGCCCCAGACCCGAGATGAGGGGAGTCAGAGAATAGTCGTCTTCAGAGCAGAGAAGGGAATAGGCAGGGACTTCATTTCCAGAGCAAGGACAGCTCCTGACCCAGAAACCTCATGGAGAGAGGGAGTGCAGGGGCTCTGGAGAGCTGGGACGAGCTCTCCTCAGGGAGGCCCCCTGAGCGTGTGTGGGGAGAACCCTTAACTCAGGTCCACCTAGTTCAGATTCTGTTCTCTGTCACACTGCCTAGGTGCTGTGTGGTCCTGTGCAAGTTAAGTAACTTCTCTGGAATTCGTTTCGTGTCTACAAAGTGAAAGTCGACATTCTTACCAGGTAATATGATGGCACCAACAGGACAGGCCGTGGGCAATAAGGAGAGCCTGGCTCAGAGTGAGTGGTGAGCAGTGAGAGCTGGACAGTTTGTTGCCAACTCCTGGTCACAGAGGCACTCTCATGCCTCATCTCAGGCCTGGCACCTACTTTAGGCCAACAGGTGCCTGGTGTCCCAACTCTGCTCCGCCTACTCGCAGCAGTGGCTTCCGACCACTACTCACTGTGGGCCCTGCTTATTCCCTGGGACCACCCTGTGCCAGTACAGTAGGTAGGTACGCCATGCCTTATGTGGAGACCGAAAAAGGTGAGGGCCTGAAAAGCAGGACCTGGGAGTGGAATAGAGGGGAATGCGGTGTCTTGGAGCCAAAGGCAGGCTGCAGGGAGCAGTGTTGAATGGGGCAGTTGCCAGCCAGTTGTGTGGGGCCATGGAGACGCTACACCCCACAGGGCTGGCCACTGAAGTGTGGGGGGCGGGGCACCTCACCTTTGATGATGGATTTCATGTCGCACTTCACCGAGTCGATGTTGTGTAATGCAATCAGGAGCTCTCCAGGGTTCAGGGGGGACAAGGCAGAGTTCCCTTCACCTGCAGCAGGTGGGAGGAGTGGGGAGACAGTGGGGGGTCTAAGTGGGGGCTCCGAGGTACCCAGACGGGGGGGGGGGGAGCTGTAAAGATGAGATGCCCTGCTTCACAGGGGCTAGGACAGGGCTGGAGCAGGGGAGGTCTGTGGGTGAAGCTTGGAGGCCTTCACCCTGCCCTGCTCTCCCCCACCTGGGTTCCTGCCCTCACCAAAGCCTGTCAGTGCGGCAGGGCTGCTGTGGCCCCTGAAGGTGGACCAGGAGGGCCCACAGCTGGCTCCTAGCACCAGCTCTAGTATGGAACAGATGCTCATGGATATCTGCAGGGCAGGGCAGGGCAATGATCGCAACCCAGAGTGGCCCCAGTGAAGAATGGTCACAGAGGCACTCTCCTGCCTCATCTCAGGCCTGGCACCTACTTCAGGCCAATAGGTACCTGGTGTCCCAACTCTTCTCCGCTACTTGCACAGTGTGTGTGTGGGGGGGAGCAGTGGTATGTGGGGTGGTCCTCTGCTGCTGCTATTTGGACGCCCCAGGCCCTCCTGGGCACAAAACCAGCAGGTGTGGTGTTTCTGGCCATGGGGGAGGAGGCAAGGAACCCTCATTACTTGATAGTTTTCTTTTTTGACCATATCAGACAAAATGCCCCTGGCTCACAGCTTGAGGGATCCAGGTAAGATCTGAGGGACCAAGTCCTTGGCCTGGGAGCACTGCACCCACTGAGACCAAGGCAGGCAGCACCACAGGGAGCAGCACAAGTAGATGCCTCTCCCAGAAGGCGATATATGCCTCCCCAGGCACTCTGTATGCCCTTTTGCCCACCTGAGGGAGGGAGGCAAGAAGGGCTATCACCTGTCACCTACCGTGCTGGGTGCCCAGCAGGCGGTTGAAGACTTCTTTCACCACGATGGGGTTGAGTTTGATGAGCTTGGGCAGAGCCTGGATCACCTCCTTCTACAGGGGAGGTGGGGTGGGCACCATCAGATACACCCCACCCTTTCCCCAACAGGCCCCACGTGCTTGTCCTGGGGAGGGCTCCAGCCCCCATCTGTGCCTTCCCCCCACCACTTAGGCTGCTCCCCCCGCAAGGTGGACAGAGCGCACCATCCTTAGGTAGATGAGGCTGGCTCAAGGTCCCAGGCTCACAGGGTGAGAGCCCACCAGGGATGCAGCACTTGAGGTGCTTCCCCCACATTGGGGACACCAGTGTGTCTGCAGGCCTTGGGACAACCGTGTGTACACACAGGATACCACTGTAGTCCTCAGCTAAGATGGGACGTGACCTGCTTAAGGCAGGAGCAGCTCTGGGACTGCGCCCCTGAACATCTCCCACAGGGCCCAGCTGATGGAAATTCCTGGCCACAGGCCAGCTGCCTTTCCACCTGGCCTCTCATGCTTCTGCCCCCCCCCCCCAATCCCACCACACACTGGCAGGGGACAGCTGGACAGCCCACGCTGTACCTTCTCCAGCCCATTAAGCACTGGGATGAGGAAGCGGACATCGGGCAGCCGCTTGTGGTAGAGGTCCCGGACCCGCTTCACCAGCTCCGGGGAGGGTGGCACTGCAGAAGGGAATGAGCAGGAAGCAGAGTTGGGTGGTGAGAACAGGTGAACGTGAGCACCAGAGGCAGAGGCACAGGCACGTGGGTAAGGGACAGCTCAACTGCCCAGCAGGGACCCTCATTGCCCTGGCTGACCACAGGCAACCAGTGATATCCTGTTCTAAACAGAGAAGCCAGGGCCCCAGGACAGGAGAGAGCCACTAGGTACAGTCATCTGGATCCAGCAGCCCTGACTCCCAGGGCTGGGAACATGTAGGGAAGGCCAAGGAGGGAAAAGCCCAGGCACCTTTATCTGTGAGGCTGTGCAGACATCGAGTGACTAGTGTCTCTGCCCCCTTGGGGCAGTTTTCCACCAGCAGGAGCAGCTCTGGTGAGTTCATGCCCATTCCTCGAATCTAGAAGCAGAGATTAGGAGGACTTGACCAGGGTGAGAGCTTGGGGAGGCCAGGGGCATCAGGGGAGGTCGTTGAGGGGAATGCTGGGAACAGGAGAACTGGACATGGAGTTGATAGCTGGGGGACCTCTGGACAAGGTGGTAGGAGTGGAGGGCAGACACACCGGGCTCTTCCTAGTCTCAACTGGGACCTGTTCCAGCCCGTGTGCCAACTCCTTGGGTAGGACCTTCCCATGACCATCAGCTTAGCCAACACCCCAGGCTCAGCCTGCTGCTGGTTCTGGAGTCAACAACGGTAGTAGGAGTCAGGCTCCCCTTTGCTCGTAAACATTTACAGCCATGAAGAAAATTGGCTACCTGCAGCGTGATGGGCTCTTTCCCGCAAATTGCAGGTGGCTCACCTTGGAGGTGCACAGAAAACCTTGTTATCCCCACTTTATAGATAAGCACACCATCACATCTGGAGGCAGGTGTGTGGGGAATAACACACTGTTCTTTCTCCCTTTGTGTCTGTTAGATGAGATTATGAAAGTCATTTCAAATCCCACGGCAAACTGGAGGGCGGACACTGAGAGCTGCAGGGCTGACCTGCCAATGAGCTGCTTCTCCTGTGGGCAGCCCTGTGGCTCCAGGGAGAAGGGCAGGGGGGACATTTTTATGTAAAGACAACTTAAGATTTCTATTGGCAATGGAGGGGAAAGCCAACTCTAAGTGGTGACAGGGGCACAGAGGATGATATGCCATGTGTTCAGACTCCTGAAATGCTTGGGAGACTGGATCATGCCCTTTGTTTTCACTGACAGGGCCCAAGGGCACGGTGACAAAGGAAAAGGCAGAATATGAACCCAGGTCTGTCCAACTTCAGGCTCTGAGCCGCTGGGCCCACCTGTCTCTTCCTGCAAATACGGATGATGTGAGGACCACCCACGAGCCACTGAGCTGCAGGCCCAGGGTGACAGCCCTCTGGGCTTAGCCCTAAAGCAGAGACACCTGAGCAAGAGCTGCAGTTGGGGACTCAGCCCTGCCAGGGAGTGGGCACAACCTGGTGGGCTCAGGGGCCTCACCGGCTGCTCAATGACCCTCAGCACGGTCCGCTTGATGTCAGCGATGGCCTCGGTGTACACAGCGGCCAGCTCGTGGATCAGCTTGTGGTTCTGAGGCAGGAGGGCCAGGTAGAGGTACAGACATTGCTTCACTGTCTCCTCAGTCCAGGGCGCAGCCACCTCTGGCAGGACAAGGCCAGGTATCAGACTCTCCACCCAACCCCTGACCCCAGTGTTTTCCTTTCCAGGGAGCAGGGCAATGGGAGGAAGGGGGCAGGCAGAGAAGGGAGCCAGCACTGGGAAGCAGACCCTCCAGGGAAGTGGGGCAGCCCAGGACTCCTGCTTCCAGCCACCTCTGACCACAAAGCCATGGCTACTAGAAGCATCTTTCTAAAATGCAATCTGACCCTGTCCCCCTTCCAGTCCTGCCAAGACCGCCCTGTGGCCTCAGGATAGCCCCTGGCTTCTTGCCTGGCATCATCTGCCCTGTGCAGAGAAGGGAGCAGCAGCCCCGGCACACTTGGCCAGCCACGCAGCCCCTGAGACCAGCTTTCCAGGTCCTCGCCCTACCAGCTCCTCTTCTCACACCTCCTCGTCTTGGGGTTCACAGTGCTGTCCCGGGCAGGCTTCCCTGCACCCAGGCTGAGCCTCGCCTCCTGTGCTTTCACCAGAGCCCCTGACCTTCCCAGGCAAGGGTCCACTGACTTGGGGCCTAGGTTTCACTGTCTAATTCTGAGGACCTGGGGCTCTGCTAGGGACCTAGCTGGAAAGTCCTTCCTGGAGCCCACAGCGCCTAGCCCTCCTTGTCCTTAGGCCTCTCCGGCCCCTTCAGGACAGGACAGGCACCCTCTTCACCAGGGCTCCTGGACCCCTCTGGCTAGCTGTGCCAGCCCTGCCAGCGCCCATCGCTTGGTCTGAGTGTCCTCCCTAGCAGGCTGGGCAGGGCTCAGTACGCATCTGATGAACCTGCACCAAACCTGTGTCCTTGTCAGCTCCAAACAGCACAGAGGGTGGGTTGGGGTGGACCAAGAGCTGCAGGTAGTTGAGGGCAAACTTCTCCACATACTCCCGCAGCTGCTCCTTCTCGTACATGCGCTTGATGAACAGCAGGGCCTGGGAACGCACCTGAGGATAGAGGGGCATGAGAAAGGTATACTGGGCACCAGGAGGGGAGGGCCAGTTGCCCTTCTCGGCAGCACTAGGGTGAAAACAAGCCCAGCATGAGAAACGGCCAGCACAGCGGGGACGGGGCCAAGGCCCATTGCCAGTGGGAGGGAGGTGCCCCTCCCGGCTGCTGCACATCATGACCTCTCTTCCACCTCCATGTCAATCTCCCAGGCCTCGCCTGGCTCACTACTCCACGCAGCTTGAGCTTTCCTCGGTTCCTCAAAAGTGACGCTGCCTGCCAAGTCTCTGGCTTTGCGACTTGGCACATTAGGCTCCCCACTGCCTGGAATTCCAACATGGGCTTGGTCTGTTTCACTCAGACACCATCTGCCAGGAGCCACGAGCACCACTTTGCCCCCAGTGACAGCACAGACCAGGGAGAGTACACTGGGGTACACTGAGTGAGGGATACTCCCAGGCCACCAGGTGAGGGTTCTGGCAAAGGGCTGGCACAGGGACAAGCAAGGGCCCTGATTAGGCCCCGCACATGCCCATCAGGCCCCATCCAGAGCACACCCCCCTACTCACAGCCTAGGCCTCGGCACGCTCCTCTCTCCCACGAGCCTTTCCACCTCTCCCCCCACCCCCACCCAGCGCTCACAGCCACAGGCTGCTCTGCTCCAGCACTGAGCATGCCATGTCCTCACTGCCTGCATCACACTGGCTCCTTGACTAGTCAGGTCCAGCTTTTAGGGGTTCAAGCCAGACGTGGTGGCCCACGCCTGGAATCCCAGTGACTCGGGAGGCTGAGGCAGGAGGATCGCAAGTTCAAAGCTAGCAACTGAGCAAGGCAGTAAGCAACTTAGTGAGACCCCATCTCAAAAAATCAAACAGTCTGAGGTTATGGCTCAGTGGCTAAGAGCCCCTAGGTTCAATCCCTGGTGCCAAACCAAACCCAAAAATCAAAATGTGTTTAAGCTCACCAACGTGGGTGGAGTGCAAGGGGGGATACCACATGCTGCTGGCATCCCTTGTTTTTCAGTGGCCTTGTGCCACTAGGCTAGCTGTTTGCTAGGGACAGGGGAAGGCCTCCACACACAACCAACTGAGCACAGCCCAGTGTGGTACAGGGTTCACCTTGTCCTTCTCGTGGGAACTGAGGTCCAGGAGGACATGCAGGTACTGAAACTGGCGGGATGGGCGCTTGAAGATCAGGTCTCGAAGGGTGGACATGCCCAGATAGGTGCGGCTCTGTGGCAGGAAGGAGGGGATCAGAACGCCATCTATGGCCGTGTGCCCTGGAATCTGTCCCTTACCTCCCCTAGATCAAGTCAAAAGACCAGGCCTCCCGTGCCAGCCCCACCACCAGGTCTAGGATTTGTGCCCTTCAGACCCCGAGGCGGGCCCTGTCCTCAACCGGGTTGCATGACCAGCAGGTCCCCGTGGCACCACAGCCGCCTGGCTCACCTCGTCTTCACAGTACTTGCGAATCACCTCCAGGGCACTCTCGGTGATGAGTGGTGCCTCCAGAACCACCTTGGTGAAGATCCTGCCAAGGGAGGCACAGGGAACAGCTGCAGAGGAAAAGCCATCTGCTTCCCAGTGGCCCAAAGCTGGTTCCAGAGCTTTGACATGAATAGGCCACACTTCAAAGCCGCCAGCTGGCTGATCTGAGCAGAGACTTCTCTGAAAGTCAGTTTCTCCCTTTGGTCAATGGGATTCCTAACTTCACTCACTTAATTCAACGATGAGAGGGAAGAACGGGGTGCAGGTGGAGAAGGCTTTGTTACTTTAGATGTGGGAGTCACACAAGACCACCTGAGATAACATTTGAGTCGATGCTGGTGGATGAGAAGGAGCAGCCACATGAAGAGCTGGGGGAGGGGAGTTCTAGGCAGAGTGGACAGAAGGAGCCAACGCCCTGAGCTTGGCATGTCAAGGAACAGGCAGAAGACCAAAGTGGCTGAAATTTGGGAGGAGAGGGGCAGAGAAAGGCTAAAGAGCCTGGGTGACACCAAGACTCATAGGCCAGGAGGCTTAGGAGGCTGTATTTTACCCCCAAGAGCAACGGAGAAACATGGAAGGTTCTTAGAGGGGAAGTAACCAGACAGCATTAACACCACAAGATGTCACCAGAGCTGCCCAATGGAGGACAAACAGGTAAGCCGAGGCCAAGAATAGGGAGACGCTAGATTAAAAAAACAAGAGGCCCAGGGGTAAGTGCAGAGGCCACTCCAAGCATGTGGCAGAACTGGGCAAAAGCCCAGGGAGCACAACCCAGGCCCCACACTCAAAGCTGAATCCTTGCACATGGAGACAGGGAAGCAAGAAGGGAAATGCAGGTGTGTGTGGGGGGGGCACGCAACTGACATGGGTGATGAAGAGGGAAAGGAAAGCAGGACACAGGAGGGAGTCAGGAGGGCACAGGGGTGTCTCCCTCACCCATCTTTCTGGTCTGGTTTCTCCTGCAGGCCAGAGAGCAGACGGATGAGGCAGTCCTCGTACTTGTCCAGGGTGCCTGAGGGACCCGCTGCCAGGTAAGCATTGTACTCCTGGTAGAGCCAGGCAAAGGCCAGGTCCAGCCGGGCCCGAACATCCTCCAGGATGAAGGACAGGACCTCAGCCTTCAGACCTGAGTCAAACTGTGTCACCAGGCTGGCTAGGATCTTGATGCGCACCTGGTAAAGCAGCAAGAAAGCATGACGGGTGGGCCGGGCCATCCAGAACCCCATGATCACACCCTGCAGCTCCTCCCACCTGGACTTGGAACCCCCAGTGCAGTCATGGTGTTAAAGTAAGGAAGGCAGCTGAAGACTCCATGCCCAGCAGGGTCCCGTCTGTGTGGCGGGTGGAGGAGGGAAAGGAACAAACTGTCAATCAGCACCAGATAAATGTGAGTTGGCCGAAGTACCTGGGTCCTTACAAGCACAAAAAAAGATCTGGAAAGATGCTCCTAATTTGGGTAGTCACCTCCGGAAAGGGGACAGGAGGCAGGTGATGGCCAAGGAAGACTGTATTGTGTCTACATTGCCTACAAATCTTTTGTTTTGTGGTGATGGGGGATGGAACCCAGGGCCTTGAGAATGCTAGGCAAGCGCTCTACATCCCCAGCTGTGATAATATTTTTTTAACAGCCTGTGTCCTTCCATATACTACTGCCTAATTAAAAACCAATTTCAAATAATGGGGGAATGGTTGATTAACAGGGTTTCAGCAGTAGCAAGCAGCAGAATCAATTTGAAACAAGGTGTGCCTGACAGCAAAACCTGCTCCTAAGAATGCTGACAATCACAAAGGACCAGGACCACAGGCGCAGCCCTCCTCCTGGCCTGGCCCCACGACTGGTGAAGAATGTGTGTGTCTGCATTCCTCTCTCTGGAGGAACAGCTGGAAGGCAGAGCTGGCGTCTGCAGCCAGGAGGCAGGACCCTGCCTAGGCTTTCCCTGGGATATGAGGTAGACCCTTGGGGCAAGGACTGAAGGACGGCTGGGGGACAGGCATACCTGTGCTGCCCCGCTGCAGGCCACAGCCTTCTCAGCCCGCAGGATACGCTTCACAGCACCCAGCTTCATGGCTTCAACCTGGGCATCTGTCAGGGGCTTCAGCACGTCACTCAAACGGAAGATCTTCTTGCGCCCACCGGCACCTGCCAGCCTGTGCAGGAGAACAGGGTCAGACACAGTGACCTGGAGCATCCTTTGTGTAGCCAGGGCCCATCTGCTAACTCTCCCCACCTCAGGCATGAGACAAGCCACACAGGTGCTACCTGTCCTCATGCTGCATCTAAACTCTCCATGACTCTGAGGCCCAGCAAGGCAAGGGGCAAGGGACAAGGGGCAAGGGGCAGGGAGAGCTGCCACTGGGTTTTGCTTAGGGATGGTTCCTGTGAGTAGAGACCTGAGTGAAGGCGGCACCAGACACCAAGACCAGGGGCAGCTTTCCAGGTAGAGAAAGAATGAGCACAGAGCCTTCGGAGGGGACCTGCTGTGGGTGTGATGCAAGGAGGGAGCAGGGAAGGGACAGAGAGCCTAGAGGGGGCGGGAGGTCCCCTCAGTAGTACACAAGCCCAGGTAGCTGGTTTGTGGTCCACATGTGAGGGAGACGAAGATAGAATGAGAGCGACAACTAGGAGCCCTCGCCACATGCTAGGATCAAGCGATGTGCTTTCAACCACGGCGGCCTTCATCCTAAGTTTTCTACCTCATTAGCCTTACCATCATTACCAGTTGTCACCATTCTCCCTGATGGTTATGAGACACTTTTCTCCCATTTTTACAGAAAACACAAAGGCTTAGTGGTTACAACACTGATTGGAATCAGAGGCTCCCACCCTGCCCAGCTCCTAGACAAGGACTCACCGCGGCTGTGTAACAGGGATGATGGGCTCTGGCCTCCTCTTGGCCTGGGGCACCTCCTCTTCCAATGGGGACATGGAGCTCAGAGAGCCCACCACAGAGATGGCTTGGCCCTGGGCTGACAGACGCCTCTTGATCAGGACACTCTCCGGCTTCACCACCTTCTCTTCCTTGGGTTCCTCCTTACACTGTTTGGTCTGCTCCACACCTGAGGGGACACCCAGGATGTCAGGCCCACTTGCGCACACCGGACCCCTCAGGATGATCCGCTCTAGCTGCACCTTGTGCCCAAGATGCCCCAAGGAAACCTGCAACCTCTATCCTCATTTTGCAAAATAACCCGAGGCTTAACCTAGAGGTGCCATTTGTTGCTGGGGGGGTGGGGGATATCAAATGATACAGCCACTTCAGAAGCATGATGAGCATTTCTTCCTTTTTTTTTTTAATATTTTTTTTAGTTGTTGATGGACCTTTATTTATTTGCTTATTTATATGTGGTGCTGGGAATCGAACCCAGTGCCTCACACGTACGAGGCAAATGCTCTACCTCTGAGCTACAACTCCAGCCCAATGAGCAGTTCTTACTAGCACTGATGACACCCTAACCTGCGACCCCAAAACTCCACTCCCTGGTATATGCACAAGACAGACAAAAGGCATGTGTGTGTGCATCAAACAAAATATCACACAAACATTCAGAGCAACTTTATTCATGATGAGCAAAATCTGGAAACAAGCTACAGGTCCAGGATCAGGAGTTCTGAAAACCCCATGGCAGTGTGTTCACAGGAGAAAATACTACTGAACAATAAAATAAACTACTAGTTCACACAACAACAAAAACGTAACAGCAAGCAAAAGCCAGGCCTCTGTGATTCCATTTGTATGAAATTTAAGAAGAGGCAAAACTACTCTAGGAGGCAGTCACTAGAAGAGTGGGCGCTCTGGAGGTGAGCTGCTCTGAGTGGATTGTAGCCAAGGAACTTTCTAGAGTAATGGAGATGGCTACCTTGATCTAGATGATGGAACACTGGTGTTTTCACTATGAAAATTCACTAAGGTGTACACTTCAGAGTTGTGCATTTTGCTGTACAACTTATTTTTCAAAAGCACTATTGAAGTAGGTAAAGCTCTGAGGCTCCCTGAGGCTAAAGAACTCAACAAAAGTCACAGAGTTAGTAAGTGAAGGATCCAATCTGGTTCAATTTGGATCCCAGATCCAGGTCTGCTGGATTTCAAAGCCCAGAACCCGAGAATACCGAGTACTCACTCTATTTAAGGCGTCTGTGATTATTCACACGTTAAATGGCACACGATCTTCCTCTGCACCACCATGAGGAGTGGCTAGTGCCAATCTCTGGCCTGGGCCAGCTCCATGAGAAACTCACCTGGACCCAGTCCTGCAGCCGTCATCTGTGTGGCCATGAGCCGAGCCAAGTGCTTGATTTGGGCTTCAGTTCCTGCTGACTCCACAGGAGTGTAGATGGCTTGGAAGGAGGCAGGCATGGTCTCAGGCAAGTATACCATGCTGATGAGGACCTGCAGGGGGCCCAGGAGGGATTCCTTCCTTAAGCACTAAGTCAACAGGTACTGGTCCTGTGCCCAGGCAGTGAGCAAATATAGTGCCCAAGATGGACCTATGCCTGCTCTAGGGGACTGCAGCCCCCAAGGGAGTCAGAAAGCCAGCCCCAGCCACATGGACAACAATTCAATTATCCACCCCTGGCTCTCCAGCTGGCAGACCCTCCCCTTGAAGGAGAGAGGACAGTGACCAGGGTCAAGGGGTTGGTACAGGGATTCAGAGCACCTAAAGAGGGCCTGCTGAGTGGTGGTGACAAGTGACTTCCTAAAGGAGTAGGGATGAGGTCTACCAAGGTGGGAGGGCCTGCTGGACAACCCCTCTGGTGCCATCTGGAGGAGGTGGTGAGTGTGGTGTGGGGACAGGGAATGGACGGGAAGATCCCCCCCTCCTTGCCCTGGGGAAGACAGGCTGTCATCCTTACCAGATTGGCCACATTGTCGGGCGTCAGCAGAGGCTGCAGGAACTCAGCTGTGATGTCTGTGTCTGACTGGCCTGAGATCTGGGCGGAGGCCTTTGAGGTCCCTGATGGACCAGGCTCCAAGTCCTTGTCTTCATCATCTTCCCCCAGGTTGGGCTCTGAAATAGGGGAGAATGAGCTATGGGCTCTGTACAGAGCAGTGGCCCTCTTCTGGCATGGAACCCAGGTGGCCCTGCCTCCACTGGCCTTAGCATCAGCACCACACAGTGGATGAGGACCAAGGCTGTAGCCCCACCTCCAACATATGAGCCTGGCAACAACCTGCCTCTTTCTGGGCCTCAGTTCTCATCTGGGAAATGGGAATAAGCCAAACCCCCTATCTAATCACACCAAGTTCTATGAAGACAATATTATTCAGTATTAGTTTTGCAAGGCTACGGATGGAACCCAGGGCCTTGTGTATACTAGGTGCGCACCCTACCACTGATCTACACGCTAGCCCAGAAGACAAGAATAACAAAAGGTCAACCAACTAATCATTTCACAGAGATTTACTATATACAAATATCTATTTTTTTTTTAATTTTTATTTTTTTAAAGTTGTTGATGGGCCTTATTATTTATTTATTTATTTATATGTGGTGCTGAGAATCAAACACAGTGCTTCACACACACAAGGCAAGAGCTCTGCCACTGAGCCACAACCCAGCCCCCAAACCTCTATCTTTGAAACAGTATTCAACTTTTCTAGGAATGAGGAAAATACAGAAAACAAAAACCCTCAAAACCCAACAAGATGGCATTTTTTTGCTTATATGATTAACAAAAAAAATCAAATGGTTAGTAGTAACAGATGTCAGAGGCGATGAAAATGTAAACACATGGCCTGGAAAAGCACTGGACAGGGCTGAGGCTGTAGCTCAGTGGTAAAGTGCTTGCCTCGTGAGGCACTGGGTTCAATCCTCAGCACCACATAAAAATAAAGATAAGGTGTGTTCATCTACAACTAAATAAACATTAAAAAAAAAAGCATTTGATAGTAGATCAAAATTTTATATATGTGCATGCCTTGTTGACACAGCAATTCCATTTGTAGGTATGTACCCCAAAAACTCACATGAAGGTCAACTGCACAGGGAATTCCCTGCAGCACTGATGGTACGGACAACAGCAGACTGGATGGACATAGGACAACAGTCCTAGCCCAAGGGACAGAAACCAATACTTTGAACCATAGAGAAAAAGTTCTATGTCATAAAGATGTTCCTTGCCAGGTGTGATAGCACACACCTGTAATCCCAGAGGACTGAGACAGAAGGATTGAGAGTTCAAAGCCAGCTTCAGCAATGGCAAGGCGCTAAGCAACTCAGTGAGACCCTGTCTCTAAATAAAATACAAAATAGGGCTGGGGATGTGGCTCAGTGGTTGAATGCCCCTGAGTTCATTTGCGAGTACCCAATAAAATAAAAAAAGATGGTCCTTGAATTTATATCTATAAAATTGTATGGCAAGAATGTGATAAAATGTTACATGGTTATATTAACAGTTTGTAAGGATCACAAAGAGTTGGCCCTGCACTCTGCAAAGGCATATATAATTCAGCCCACTGCTTAAGACAACCTAGAAAAAAGTGAGCAAAAAATATGGGCACTTTGCAGAAATGAAAATGGCCACCAAACATAAACAGATACACAGCCTGGCTTCAACACAGGCCAGAGTGCAGACCCATACCAAGGACACCATTTGTGCCCAGCGAGTTTACAGTATGCCCAAGGCTGGTGGATTCACTGAAGGGTGCCATACACTGCTGCGGTGCTTTGGAAACCAGCCTGGCAACAGCTATGGAGAGTGTAAATCTGCCAGGAGTGGTGGCGCATGTCTATAATCCTAGCGGCTCAGGAGGCTGAGGCAGGAGGATTGAGAGTTCAAAGTCAGCCACAGCACCGGTGAGACACTAAGCAACTCAGTGAGACCCTGTCTCTAAATAAATTATAAAATAGGGCTGGGGAGGTGGCTCAGTGGTCGAGTGCCCCTGAATTCAATCCCTGGTACCCCCAGCTGCCAAAAAAAAAAAAAAAAAGCAAGAGTGTAAATCTACCCAGTAGCAATGGGCACATTCAGTGCTCAGACTTTTATTTCTGAAACTATTCTGTCCTTAAAAGAAACCATGGCAGGACAGGGGCCGGCTCAATGATACAGTGCATGCCTAGCACGTGTGCTGGGTTAGATCCTCAGCATCCCGTAAAAATAAGTAAAATAAAGGTGTAAAAATACAAGACATTATTTAAAGAAAGAAAGAAAGAAACCAACCATGCCAGGAGCGGTGGCACACACCTTATATCCCAGCGGCTCAAGAGGCTCAGATAGGAGGATCGCGAGTTAAAGGCCTCAACAATTTAGCAAGGCCCTAAGCAACTCAGAGAGACCCTGTCTCTAAATAAAATACAAAATAGGGTAGGGATGTGGCTCAGTGGTCGAGTGCCAGAGATCAATCCCTAGCATGCCCCCCCCCACAAACAAACAAACAAATAAATAAATAAATAAAAACAGACTCAAAGGAATGACTGTTTCCAGGGAAAATACAAGATACCTCTGGAACGTCTTGTGATGCTAGAATGTAAGAAATGCTCAGAAAGTGTTACTGGACCCATTAAAAGAAGATAGAAGCCAGGTGCCTAAGTATGAGGAAATTTGAGCAAGAAAATAAATAACAATGGCAACAGATTATAACGTAGAAAAAAAGAACCCATGAGCCCTTACTGATAATAAATTGCGGAGATGAAAATAAAATTCTTCCCTAGAGAATGCCAACTAACAAATGTGGAAAGAAGATCTTTTTGTAAACAGTACAGCTATCATAGATTCAGACAAATATCAATGGACATTACAACTACAGGGTGAAAGTTTTAGAAGAAAAAGTATTTACATGTTCAAGGATCTCCCCCATCTCAGTATTTAGAAAGAGAAAAATGGTACTTTTTTTTGTCTTTTATTTATGGTACTGGGGATTAAACGTAGGTTTCACATATGCTAAGCAAACACTCTACCACTGAGTTACATCTCCAGTCCTTTTTATTTTGAGACAGGGTCTTGCTAAATTGCCAAGGCTGGCCTTGAACTTGCCATCTTATTACCTCCACCTCCTAAGTCACTGGATTGCAGGGGTATGCCCCCCAGCCCAGAAGCTAAAGAAGAGTCTTTGACACTAGAAACCTGGCACATACCACCTTAACCAAATGAAGAAAATTAACATTATGAGTAATGGGACAACTTGCCACCACACGCCTCCAAGTCCCCTGAACAGAGGCCAGGGCATGGTTTCCCCAGCATCACTGCTGAGGGTGCAAACCTGATCCAATCACGAGGCAAAAGCACACAAACTCAACGACAGGACATTCTATCAAACTACCATCCTGGACTCTTCCTAATGTCGATGTCACAAAGTCCAAGGAGGGCTAAAGAATGGATGCGGGAGATTAAAAGGGACCTGCCACCTGAGGTAATGCATGTTCACCATCCCGTGAGGCATACACAGGAATGTTCCATACTGTTTCTGTAACTTGTCTTTAAATTCAAAATTATTTCAAAACTAGAAGTTTAATAAAATAGAAAAATAAACTTGATGAATCAAAATAACTTTAACATCCCACACACCATTCCCAGAAATTCCACCACGGGACCTGCCCTGCACAGAAAATGGCTATACAGACACTGCTTATGCTTAACTACGGAAAAACCTAGCTAAATTCACAACTCACTCCTTTTACCAAAATTCCTTATTTTTTAACATGAAAAAAGAATCTTTGGTATATGTTCTAGAAACAAACATGGGTCATATTTTTAAAAAAAATGGTGTTAAGGAAGGCTATTAATATAACCATTAAAAATTACTTCCAAAAGAAGGCTGGGGATGAAGCTTGGTGGCACAGTGATTGCTTGTTTACATGAGACCCTAGGTTCAATTCCCAGTACCCTCCATTACTTCAAAAAGAGCCAGTACAGTAGGCACATGACTGTGATCCTGAGGATTCAGGAGAGGGAGAAGATGGAGACTATTTTCATTTTATTGCTTTCACTTATTATATATCATTACATTATATAACTCATGATATTAATGCAAATTAAACACAGTTTAATGTAAATAACTTTTTAAACAGGGTATGACCCATGGCCCCCTCCTGCCAGGCCCCAGCCTCAGCTCACCCAACTTCATCTTCTTGAGTGTGGAATCTGAGTCATCTCGGGGCCGCTTGCGGGCATCCTTGCTGCTGGGCATATTTCGGGCAATCTCAGCCTGAGGTGTGCCCAGGTCCACCAACAGGGTGGTGATTTGGGCCTGGAACTCCAAAGAGGCTGGGTGCTTGAGCACACTCAACAGGTGCAACTTGAGGTTCTTGCGTACACTGCTCACCTGCGATTTGGCCAGTGTTGGCGGGAGGTTGGCTGTAAGAAGAAAGGCAGGAGTTTGGTGCTGTGGACAGATCTCCAGGAGTCCTGCTAGTCTAAATTCCCAGCCCCAATCTAGGCCAGTGGTCTTGCAGGCAACTCCGAGGAAAGCTCTGTGTTCTGAGATCTAGTGTGCGGCTCTCCCCCTTATAGGCTGATGCATAAAACCCTTAAGTGTACTAGTCCCCTTCACAGAGAAAAACACAACCTCCACTTTATTAAACATAAAATCTCAGGTCCCTCCATCTCTGGTCTCCATTCTAAACCCTTCCCCTGTGTAGGGCTATAATTGGACCCTCACTTCCACAAACTCCCCTTCCAATGTCTGCTGGTCACCTTGATGAACCAGTCTCCCCTGCTCGAGCGCAAAAGAAGATGCCTGTAATTTTGCCTGCCCAGTGTCCACTGTCCCTTCCTCAGCCAATAAAACTCCCATTCGTCTTTGAGAGGACCACCTCGTCTCCATCCTCCATCCAAGTGCAAGTGAGACCGGGGGCCACTGAGAACACAACATTCCCCTGGCCACTGTGATTGGTTCAGGGATAGGCTTATAATTTCTGCTCAGCCAATCAGAAACAATGAGCATCAGTCCTTGGACTTTTGCTGGAATGATGGGGAAGCAGGCACTCTCTTTCCCTGGCGGTTGCTAAGTGGTTGGAATGGAAGCCTGGAGCTATGGGACACCTTCTTCGTTACCCCAAGGAAAGACCCAGAAAAGGAAATCAACACTGAGAAGATAGAGCCAAAAGGTGGACAGAGACTGATCCGTGATTCTGCATATACTCATGATTCAACTCCAGACTTTCAAGTTTTTATCTGTGTAGAAATGCAGAGAAAATATTCTCTATTTCTAGATACCCATCAACAAACATTTTGCTGATTATAGAATATATAGCCTCCCCTTTTGGAGGCCAGAGGGAAAGGCTAGAATAGAAAGTATTTCATAGACTTTATGCCATTTCACTCACATGCATTTTGATATTAAAGCCAGTTTGGGTTTCTTTTTTTTAATTTGCAGTGTTGGAGATCAAGCTAGGCAAGTACCCTACAAGTGACATCCCTAGTCCTTAAAGTCATTTTGGAACTAGGTTTCTGCCACATGCTAAAAATTACTATCTAATACAGAGAACCCTTCCCTCGTGCCCACAGTGGCTAGAGCGACAACAGCACTCAGGGGCACTACCTATCTCACATCTCTTTATGCAAGGGAAGTGTGGCCAGTGGAGAGGTGAGGGAGGGGCTCGACTTACCATGCAGGGTTTCATAGGCCTGGATCACCTCAGACATGAACATGGGTCTTTGACGGGCGATATTGGCGAGGGAGCCCAGTGCTGTGGTCAGGTTGATGGAGGAGATGGCAGGGTGCACCATGAACTTGAGCAGCTGCTCCAAAGCTGCCTTGCCCTCTTCCCACAGCACATCTGAGAGAAAGGAGAAAACCTGTTAGCAGGGTCCTTTCTCCCAGTCCTTTGGAGAGAGAAGCTTTGGGGCTTAAAAGAAGGCTGAGTCCTGATACTCAGGTGTCTAGATGTCAGGAAAAAGAAAATTTAGTGCCAGAGGTGCTCCCCCACTGAGCTCATCCCCAGCCCTCCTTTTATTTTATTTCTTAAATTTTGAGATAGGACCTTGCTCACTTGTTCAGACTGGCCTCAAACTTATAATCTTTCTGCCTTAGCCTCCTCAGCAGCTGAGATTATAGGTGTGTACTACCATGGCTGGCCTATGAGACTATTAATAAGTATAAAAATTAAGTTTTGAGAATGTTAAAGCATAAGTTTACAATAACAGAATACTAGAAATAATTTTAAATATCCATCTATTGAAAACTGACTACAAGAATTATATTGTTATTAGGCACGGTGGCACATGACTAGAATCCTAGTGGCTCAGGAGGCTGAGGCAGGAAGATCACCCCAAGTTCAAAGCCAGCCTCAGCAGTTTAGTGAGGCCCTAAGCAACTCAAAATAAACAGAAAAAAGGGCTGGAGATGTGGCTCAGAGGTTAACTACCCTTGAGCCACATCTCAATCCCTGGTACCCTCCCACCAAAAAGAACTATATTGCTAAATTTTGAATACATACATATATACACACATAGACAAAGAACTTACAAGTCTCTTGTAGTACCACTATCCTTAATCCAGTCCCTAACAGTTAATGCTTAAAAAGTTTGGTAGGTAAACATACTGAATTCCATATTATTTGAAATAGTGAATAAAACACGATGTAAATGTTGATTGACAGAGAACTGCTTATCATAACATGAGGCCACCACATCATGGGATATTGTGGAACATGTGAACATGGTTTTGGTAGGAAAGGATGTCATTCTTATTGTTTAAAGAAGTTGTTAAATGTTACATAAGAATAGTTAATACTTACAGAATGCTCTGATGCCAGTCATACTATCTTACCAAATCCCATACCTCCACCCTAAAGTAGATGCCATAATAATGGTCCCCAGTTTAGCAAAAAGGAAACAGGCTCAGAGAAAGAAAGAGTAAGTCACTTGCCCAATGGAAGAGCTGAGAGTCAAACACAAGCCACAACACCCTAATGTTTTCAGCTGAAAATATAAAGCATGGTCTTGATTTTGCAAACCAAAAAGCAAACACAGCATCCCTGGAAGTAGTTTGGAAGAAAAATCATGCTCTTTCCAGTGTTCACCTCCCTTCCCCACTGGGGAAGAGAGGCTATCCCCCACATCCCCAACCCATATCACTTGCCAGTTACAGCATACATATGTACTACTTTAATAATTCAATTAAGAAAAGCATGAAATAACTGACATTTATTAGTTTGCACTCTCACAGAACCTCAATACAAGCCTGTTTAAGAAAGGAAAGTGTAGTTCAGAGAGGAGTAACTGGCTCAGCCATATGAGGAAGTGGTAAGCAGGATTGAAGCCTAGCCTCAGGGCTCTTAACCGCTGAATTACCTGTATTATGTTGTCTTCAGAAAGTAAAACAAAAGCAGGGGCTGGGGTTGCAACTCAGTGGCAAAGCGCTTGCCTTGCACATGTGAGGCAATAGGTTCAATCCTCAGCACCATATAAAAATGAATGAATAAAACAAAGGCATTGTGTCCACGTTAAAAAACAAAAAACAAACATTATTAAAAGAAAGTCCGGGGGTTGGGGGGAAGGGTGCCAGTATGGACAATGGCAGCAGAGGATGGGCACCACTCACTGTATTGGATGTAGGGGTGGTCTCGAGGGATGCGGTCCAGGCTGATGTCATGCTCCTGGCGTCGGGGTACCTCTGAGTCAGCCACGCGGGGTGACAGGGTGACAATGAGGCCCTCGACAAATTTGATGGCGTGGGTTCGTATTCCATCATTGTCAGAATCTAACAGTAAGATGATGTCCCCAGCCATGGCAGACACCATGTCCCAACAGGCTTCCTGGAGATCACTGATGACCCGTGACTTCACCATCCACTGCCAGAAGGCCAGGGAGGAATAGAAGAAAAAGAGAGGGACAACACATCAATCACCAGCACCTTGCACTATTCCTAGAGACCTGTGGATGACGAGAATATTCATCTGGTTAACAGTTACTGAGTCCCAACGGTCCCCAGCTCAGTTTCAGGTGATGCTGAGGACAGGACCCTGTCTGGCTCTGCCCTGGTATGATTCGCAGTAATAACCCTTTGTCTTCAGATCCTAAGGAAGACAAGGGAGTAACAACGCTGACCTCAGGGTGGTGGTGATTAAATGGCCTCATTAATCTCACTGACACCAATGAACAGTTCCCTAGTGTGTCCTCTTTATATCCCAGCCTAAAATCGATATTCACATAATTCTTCCAACAGGGCCTGGTTCCCTCACTGGGCTGAGTTCTGTGAAGGCAGAACCTGGAGTATCTTGGTCACTGCTGTGGCCCTACAGGGATAGGCAGAAAGGAGGTGTCCGGGAAATGTTTGGTAAATGAATAAATGAACAGATGGGTGGAAATAAGGATGGGTTAGCGGCAAATTCATGACCCAGAAGACAACACAGATCCCCTTGTTATCCAGTCCCATAGACCAAAAGCACATCTTGACCATCAAGAATCTGGTCCGAACCTGGTTTGAACTCCAATAGATTAGTCTGTAAATCAGACCATCAGATAGGATGCCCCTGGAAGGGGAGGGAGCGCTCACCTGCAGGGCTACTTTGTAGAGCTGGGTCATGGTGAGGATGGCCTTCTTCACCACATTCACATTCTCGTCCCTCAAGAGCATGTTGAGGTTTGCAATCAGTTTCAGCAGTAACTCAATGTCTCGTTTGCTGGAGATGGAGGAAAAGGGGCAAAGTCAAGGTGGTGTTAGGGCAGGTTGTGGGAACCTGGTATCCTGGCAGAAAAGGAACTCAGGGCCCAAATCCCAGGGAACAGGAATGGAGGTGGCAAGGTTAAGAACTACACCTGCTTTGTTTGCCAGCAAATCTGGAACCACAGAACAATGCTTGACACCTCTGGTCTGAGCTGCCCCTGAACCCTCCATCTTGGTTGATCTGCAATCCCCTCTCCTTAACCCTCTTAAAGCCCTGCTTTTTTTTTTTTTTTTAAATATTTTTTTAGTTGTAGATGGACACAATACCTTTATTTTATTTATTTATTTATTTATTTATTTATTTAATGTGATGCTGAGAATTGAACCCAGTGCCTCACACATGCTAGGCAAGCGCTCTACCACTGAGCTACAACCCCAGCCCAAAGCCCTGCTTTTCATGTGAAGAGTTACAGAAAAAGACAACTGTGTGAATTTGGGCACGTGACTTTACCTTATTTATAGTAGTAACAGTACTTATTGTATAGGTTGTGAAAATTGCAACACTAAAGTGCTTAGAACCAACCCCTGGAAAGCATTAGATAAATACCATCCATCAGTGTTACTTAAATCACTTTGTTTTATACATTCATTAGTCTTGTTTATTTAAGTGGGCACCCTATCCTAGTGCCGAGTACCAGTGGGGTCACCTTTGTTAACACAAAGAATAAAAAGTCTCAAACAACCAGTTGATAAACAAAAGAATTTAAGGTGGCCAACTCATAATGCTCAGCACATATGATTCTTGCAGTATATATTTACAATGTGAAATTAAACATTAATCAAATCAGTAAAAAAAACGACTTTCAGCTCCACAAAGGCAGGAACAGCACCTGGCTGTGCTCACTGCTGTGTCTAAACTCATTTCACCTCTCCAAACCTCAGTTTTCTCTTCAATTAAATGCCAAGTAACTAATCCACAGAGTCAATGTTAAGGATCAAATATCGGAGTAGGTCTAGCATTTAAACAGTGCCTGGCAAATAGAAAGCACTCATATGGGCTATTTCACTTTCTTCTGGTCACAAAGCATCGAGTTAACGTCTAATGACCCAATAAGTAAATGACCCAACTTAAACAAGTCACTTTACCAGAGCCTCAGTTTCCCTTTCCATAATAAGAGGGGAACTGATAGTACTCTGTGAAGATTACAGATGAAAATTAGGGAAGGGGGGCTGGGGATGTGGCTCAAGCGGTAGCGCGCTCGCCTGGCATGCGTGCCGCCCGGGTTCGATCCTCAGCACCACATACAAACAAAGATGTTGTGTCGGCCGAGAACTAAAATAAATATTAAAAAAAAAAAAAAGAAAATTAGGGAAGGACCCAATGCTGTACGGGCAAAAGCATCCTGCGATTACTGTTAAGATAAAATTCATTTACTTGTTCCACAAATACAGTCAGTCTCTGCTAGCTCCAACTTGTTTCAGGCAGGCCCTGGAGATAAAGTGGCCAATAAGAAATGTCAAGCCCTATTCTTGCAAGGCTCATGTTTCTGTGGGCAAGAAAATTACTAAGGTAATTTCAACAAGTAAAAACACTACAAAGTGTAGCACAGGAGGAGCACAGAGGAAAGGGAGCAGGCAGGGCTTTCTTAGAGACCCAGGAAAGAGCATACCATGTGGCTACCTGGGGCCCAGGGTCCCCAGCAGGCACAGCAAGTGGACAGCCTGTGATACTCCCCAGTGCTTTCTGAGGAGCAGAGAGGGAGATGGAGGCCAGGGAGGGAGACGGGGCCAGATGAAGAGTTGGGCTTCAACCTAAGTGAGACGGTGGGCCAACAGGTGTCTGAAAGTGGGTTTGAAAGCTGGGGAGTGGTGACATCCGATTCACGTTTTAGCAGGATCACTCTAGCCCTCAAGTGCAAAAGTGCAAGCAGGGAAGGAGTGTGGTGCTTCCCCTCGGGGGATGAAATGCTGTGGAACTAAATTGTAAATGTACTAAATGCCACTGAAGAGCTCACTTTAAGACAGTTATGGCCAGGTGCAATGCTGTGCACCTGTAGTCACTGCTCCTGCAGAGACTGAGGCGGACTACTAGAGCCCAAGAGTTCAGAGCCTATGGATAACATAGTGAGACCCCGTCTCTTAAGAAGAAAAAAACAACAATAATAAAATAGCTAAATTTTTGTTATGTGAATTTCATTTCATTAAAAAAAAAAAAAAAAAGAGTCAAGTCAATAAACAGGAGACAAAAAGGAGGCCAGTGAAGTCATCGGGCAACAGCGAATGGTGGCGTAGCCCAAGGTAGGGCAGAGGAAGTGGCTGAAAATGACGAACTGCTGCATGGAGCAGGGTGACAGCCCCCACTCACAATGAGAATGTAAAGTGCAGGGGAAGCTGAAGAATCACGTGTGGCCCCTGAGTTCCCATCTTACTAGGTATTTTGGGGGGAACAAGTATAAATAGGAGGGAGAATGAGTCCAAGAAATGGAGAGTGGGACCCCAGGGCAGGCTCCAGGCCAGACCAAGAGCTGAAGAGACTAATGCCACCAGGGAGGGCCCTGGCGCTGCCCCATACCATGCTTCCTCGATGAAGCCAATGACAAATTTTCGCACTTCAATCGACTTGTCTGCTTGGAAAGCGATGATCTCCTGCAATGTCAGAGAGAGGACGGGAAGGCGGGTCAGGCGCCAGCAGGACCCCTCCCCTCACCGCCTCACCCAGGAAGTTGTCCAGTAGTTCACTCTCACATCCAGGAAGTTGTCCAGTAGTGTGGGGTCTTTGTTGATGATCAGCTCCTGGACCTGGAAGGAGATTGGGGTGGTGAGGAGCATCAGACATACAAAACCAGGGTCCAATCGTTGCAGTCAGAAGTAGGGGGAAAACAGCATGGGGTCAGGCAGCAGAGAAACTCAGTTCAGTTCCTGCTCTGCCACTCACCACCTGATCTTGGGCAACTGGCTACCCCTTCCCGAGTTTCAGTCAGCTACTCTCTAAAATGAGACCTGAACCTTCAGCTCACAGGTTTGCTGGGAGGCTTCAGTGAGATCCTGCAAGATACAGGTCCTGGCAGGTATGTGGCAAGGACATGACGCATAAGGGGCTGAAGGAAGGTGGGCAATGCCCAGACCTGACCTTCCTGAGGTCAACTGCCTATTAATTCTCCCCGCTTCATACTGTCACCATTCAGCAAGCATCCTATGACCGTGGGAACCCATTTCCTGAGACCCTCGTACCTGCCAGGCTCTTTAGAGAAGCCCCTCCCACAGATTTCCTCCTGAAAACTCCGAGCAGGCACAGGGCCTCACTCCACGGTTCAGGAACTGTGGGTAAGTGGCCCCACATTCACACCGCTGTCAGCAGCTCTACCTCAGAGGTGGCACTGGCTTTGAGGCCACACGAGCCAGAAGCAGAACTGAGGTTCTTATCTAGGCAACCTGACCCCATGATCTCTGGACGCCACTGCCTCAGGTTCTGCTCCATGCACAGCCGCTCAGCTCGTGCCCTCCTCTGCCTTTCGCTCGCCTCTGTGCCCTCAGCATGAGACCCTCTCCCTCTCATTTGGTGTCCTCTCACCACCCCATCCTCCAGGGCTTGGCTCAGATGTCCCCTCTTCCAGAAAGCTCTTCCCGAACCCCTCCACCCTAGCCCTGGCTATCACTAGGCCAGGAGATCCCTGGGCGGCCAGACCTGCCTCTGGGTCACCACTGTCTGGTGACAGGCATGTCTTTCCCTCTAGACTGGACCCTGGTAGAAAGGGAAGACAAAGATGAAGGGCAGAAGACCTGGGCCCAGAACCCGGGACTGCACCAGCTCAGCTAGAGCGCCCCACTGACCACATGGACTCTCAGTTCTGCTGCTGTGTGTTCAGTGACACCGCCACCCCCATGGAGCCTCAGAGAGGACTGAATGAGAGCATGCGGCCCAGCTAAGCTCCTGGCAGGCATCTACCAGGCCAGTGAGTGTGGGCACCAGTGTTCTCTCTTCACAGGCTCCCAGCTCCCCACACTCGTCCTTCCCGGCCAGGACCCTGCCCCCACCTGCTTGAGTACTGTGATCTTTGAGTCGTTGGTGATCAGCGCTGCCTGGTTCAGGAGATCCACCACCTGAAAGGAGGGGAGATGGATGATGAAGCTGGCTCTGCCAGCCCCTTGTACTCCCAGGGTTGTCACCTGGGGCGTCATCCAGAGGCCAGAACTGTGCCTGCCCGCTCCCAGCCCCTTGCCGTGCTCACCCTCTCTGAGGTGGTCATGCCATCAATGGCTGGCCCCTCCTCTTGCGTGAAAAACTGTGATGCCACGCTCCGGCGGGTGACACTGTCCCCACTGCCACTTGCCATGGCTGCTGTCAGGTACTGCCTGCAAAAGAAGGGGTTGGCTTAAGCTGTAGGCCCTTGTAGAAGGGCTGGGACACTCATCCGGACGCAAAGGGCTCAACCCTCCTTCCCACTCAGCCAGCCTTCTCCTCTCCCCCAGGGCTGGTCTCTCCGGCTTATGTATGTGTGTCACCTGGGGGACAGCGAGGTCTCCCAGGTCAGAGAACTCTAAGCCTCATCTCTCATACTTTACCTACAGCAGGCTGATCACAAATAAATGCTGAACAATGACCACATGAACACCCAGCAGCCGCCTCACTGACCTCTGCCTCCTGTCTCTACATCTGGGCTATACTGTGGCCCGGACAACAGAGTAAACTTTCCAAGACAGCTCTGAGGAACCAAGACCTGCCCACAGCAGGGACTCGTTACATCAGAGGAGACTGCTAAATCCATCATGCTTCAGGCAGTCTCTGGAGGTCTACAGGGCTGTTTTGAAAAATGAGGGAATGTCTATGGCATCTTTCTTTCTTTTGTTGTTGGTGGACCTTTTAAAAACTCATTTATTTTTATGTGGTGCTCAGAATCGAATCAGTTGCTCACACATGCAAGGCAAGCGCTCTACCACTGAGCCACAATTCAGCCCAGACTGTAGCATCTTTTAAAGTCGCACTGCAAAACTGTGAAATGATTTCATATGGAGAGCAATCACAGATACCCATCAACTTCAGCACCACTTACAATAGCAAACTGCTAGAGCAGACAATGTGCTCTCAAATAGGGGGCTGGCTGAAAAAGACGGTGATTCACCAGCATAATAAAGAGAGACTATGCAGATCTAAAGAGGAAGAAGGAAAAAAGTAAAGGGAATGAGGAAAATCTCTGCACAGAGGATGCACATGCCATGTGAAAACTGACAGAGGAGAAGACGGGGTTCGCCATGCCGCTCCCTCTTCATCAAAGAAAGAAGTATGCATATATGATGAAGGAAGAAGACAGAAAAATTGCTGGGCACGATGGCACATACCTGTAGTCCCAGGTACTCTGGTACAGGAGGATCACTAGAGCCCAGGAGTTCAAGACCAGCCTGGGCAGCATAGTGTGACCCATCTCAAAAACAAACAAAAACCTCAAAGGATACACCAAAAAGCAAAGGAGGAAGGAAACAGAGTAAAAGCAGTTGGGTGGACCTCAGCGCAATACACCACGAGGGAGGGAACTCACCAGGAAGCCCCCTGGCCTGCTGTATGACATCCACACATGCCCTTCAGGCCACTTTCGTCTGTTTCTGTGCAGATACAAAGTGACCTGAGGTGAGCCCAACTGTATACAGAGTGACAGTGCTTACTCCCAGGGTGTTCTGAGGATGAGTTCGTGTACACAGTAATCACTAGATAAGGGTAACTATTATTGTTGTGAACATGGAAAAAGATCTGAAGGACATTGAAATTCATAATAGTTTGAAGAGGGTGAAGATACATTCTTATAAAGAAACCCAACACGTCGTCCATAGTAGCCACTTACAGCAGGAACTGGCATCCAACAGATCACCCTAACTTCCCCCTGCTGATTACTCCTGTGTCTTTCTCAGAGTCAAAACCAAAGCCCCGACCAAGGACTGCAAGGCCTGATGAGAGAGGGCTCCCCTCCTCTGTGCTCATCATCCTGTGAGCATGCCATGCACGTCCTTCCTTAAAGGTTTCATGGGTCTTTTCCTTCCCAGCTGTGGCTACCAACTCCCTCATTTCCTGTAGGTCTCCACTCAAATGTCTCTGCAGTGAGCCCTTCCCTGACCACCTTTGTCACTTAATCATCACCAACACATTACATGTCCACAAGCTCCAAGAGGACAGAGACTTGTTGGTGTTTGTTCACCTTCCATATTCCCAGCCTGGAACAGTGCTTGGCACCTAGTAGATGTTCAATAAATACCTGCTGAATGAATTAACACTCCTGTCAAAGAACCCCAATCACTGGGCTCAGTATTTCTGCCCTTTGGTTCTAGAATACCTAAAAAATGAAAGCTAATATTTAAAGAACATTTTCTACCTGCTCAGTGTAATTCTAGTGTATGTGTTAATTCACTTAAACCTCATGACACCAACTCTGAGTTAACTTCATTCTATTTTCTTGGTGCTGGAAATTCAAAGATACTGTTTAATTTTCATTTACAAATTATGAAATTGAAGGCAGAGAGGTAAAGTCACTTGAATGATGGCACACAGCTGGTAAAAGGTAGAGCTGAAAATATGTATACAGAAGCGTTAACTTACCACTATGCTGTATCATTTATCCGAAAGGAATTTCTTCACCCCAGTATGTTCGTTAAGCCAAGAGGCAGGACCACTTTACAATTAATATACTGCCAGCCCAAATCAGAACATAATGAACCCTCACATTCTTTTTTTTTCTTTTCTTTTCTTTCTGGCACTGGGGATTGAACCCAGGGACACTTTAGCACTGAGTCCCATCCCCAGCCCTTTTTTATTTTAAGACAGGGTCTCACTAAGTTGCTTAGGGTCTAAGTGCTGAGGCTGGTTCTGAACTCGGGATCCTCCTGCCTCAGCCTTGTAAATTGCTGGGATTATCAGTGTGTGTCACAGGCACCTGGCCCTCCCATTCTTTTCATAATACATCAAGACCTACCAAATTCTTTTACCGATTCCTTTTTCTTTTGCTTTCTGGTTTACCTTTAAGTTGCTATTTTTTAAATATACATTTCCCCCTATTTTGTCGATCCCCAGTATCTCAGGGGGATTGGCTCCATCACCACCTTGGATACCAAAAATCCATGGATTCTCAAGTCCCTTATATAAAAGGGTACAGTTTTTACATAAACTTACACCTATTCACATACATACTTTAAATCAACTCTATTTACAATCCTGATACAAGGTAAAAACGCTGTGTAAATAGTTGAGAATGCCAAGAAAAAAAGTCTATACATGTTCAGTAATGTCACAATACCCTTGCCCCCAAATATTTTCAATTTGAGGTTGGTTGAATCCACAATGTGGGACCCAGGATAGAGGACTGACTGTATGCTGTACAATAATTATTATTTTCCATTTTCTTGAACCCATTTTGCATAATATTTTATCTGCAGATGTATCTTGGGTTTCTTTGTTGTTGTTGTTTGGTTTTTTTGCCAGTCTTCTAAAAGAAGAACATTTGGGATGTTTGTAGTCTTTGGCTATTACAAGCAATATCACTGATGGCCCTCTCTACCCGTATACTCCCTTAAGGAGTGGACTGCCCCACTCCCACCTGGGAACATGACTACTTCCCTGTTATTCCAGAGTGGCTCTGGGAGTACTATTCATTCATTCAACAAACATTTACTGGGTATCGCCAGGATGGTGGCCACTGTGCTGAGAACACAGCGCTGGCTGAGACACACTTGTGCTCAGGGAGCTCATGGTCACAGACACAAGCAGAGAGCACACAAATAAAGGTCTAACAACAAGCCAGGCCGTGCGTGACAAGAAGGAAAGGAACAGAGGCCTAAGAAAACACTGGGCAGGCGATTTCGGGGTGGAGGGCGGGAAAGGAGGGTTTCGCAGAGGAAGTGACGTCGGCGCCGAGACCCGAAGGATGAATGGGAGTTAGCCAGGCAGAATGGGTAACAGGATGTTGCGGGCAGAGGGGACAGTCGGTGCAAAAACCCTGAGCCGGAAGGCGCGTGGCGAGTTGGAGGAGCCGAGAGGCGGTGCAGCTGCGCAGGGTGGGGGGCGAGCAAAGGCAGAGAGTGGAGGTCGACAGGTGGACGCGTCTGCGGGCCCACGGTGGAACTTTACCCGAGGGCACTAGGGAGCCAAAGCAGGGTCCTGAGCAGGGGAAGAAACGGGGGCCTCGAACGCCACTGCGCCCCTCTCCTTTCATGGGGCCTCCCTCCGCCCGCGCTCCGGCCTCTTCAGGGCCCCTCCTCCCTTCGTCCCCAGGCCCTCACGCCGCTTCCCGCTCACCGCGGCTCCGGCCTCCGTCCCCCTCGCGCCCCCTCAGCAGCGCCTCTTCGCAGACGCCGCCACCGCCATCTTCCGCCCGCCGCCGTGACACTACGCACGCGCCCCACACGCAGGACCGCCGGGAAATGGAGTCCAGTCCGCGGTCCGCTCGTGCCTCACGGGCTGCCGTCCGCCCTCCCCCATCCTCCTCTCGGTCGGCCTCCATTTCCGGCCTTCGAGCGTCATGCCTTCTGGGAAATGTAGTCCCTGGCAAAGGCGCTGGGCGGAAAGGGGGAGTAAAGGCTTCTGGGAAATGGAGTTCGCGGAGCTTCGGAGTCCTGGACGGCTGGTGGGGAGGCTAGTGGGGAGACTCCTGGGCGAAGCTCATGGGTCTTGGAGGTGGTCTGTTGCCCTGATGGGGTCTAAGCAAAGGCCCTGAGCCGCTCCACCTTTGGGCCTGACCATATACACAGTCTGAAGTCTTTACAGCCGTCGGAAGCCTCAGTGTCCCTGTCGGTCCCATTGGAATGTGGGCGTCTCTGGCTGGTTCTTATAATGGCCTACAGGTCCTTCCGCAGGCCATAGTGCCCCCAGCTCTCCTTTCCTAGGTCGAACACGCTGGGCTCTGGCTTTTCACTTTCTCAGGTCCAGACGATGAAGCCCTCTGGGGTAGAAGGGTGCTCCTGGAAGGTTCTGCCCTCCGGGTCCTCAGTAGCAGCAGCGACTCCCACCCGTAGCTCCCTCCCTCTTCATCCATCTCTGGCTCTCGGATCCCAGGGCAGCGACTCCCGACGTCTGAGGTCGGTGTCCTCGCGATCCCGCAGGGGGCGCCCCAGTCCGAGCGCGCCGCCCTCGGGGAGGCGGGAGGGCAGCCCTGGGCGGGCGAGGGCGGGGGTGTCCCGGCTATAAAGCGTAGCCGCCTCCCGCGGCGTCCGGGACATCGGGACCCCGGGCAGTCGGACGGGCGGGCGCGAGAGAGCCCGAGCACTCGGTTTCCCCGGGCCGGAGCCGGGGCGGGTGGGGGCGCAGGACCGGGGGATGCTGGGCTCGGTGAAGATGGAGGCTCATGACCTGGCCGAGTGGAGCTACTACCCGGAGGCGGGCGAGGTGTGTCCTCGGGGACCGCGGAGCGGGAAGGTGGGGGGCAGGAATCGGGCTGTGGGCTTAAGTGGGGGCAGGGGCCGTAGTGTGTGCTCAAGGGGCCCAAGGAGTCTAGTTGGGAGTCGAGGAGCTAGGGACACGGAGACCAGGTTTGGGAATTAGGGACGCCGGACAAGGCTGGAGAGCGCCTTTAGGGAAAGCTTAGATGGGAGGAAAATTTAGGCAAGGGTCAGGTCGCATCTTAAACCTGAGGGCCGGGTGTTGGGCCCTGAGATCCGAGGGATTAAAATGAACAATTCTAAGGCAGGAATCAGAGCTCCAGGGTAGGCGATAGAGCAGGAGGATTTCGGGAAATGGGGTTCAAAGGAAAGGGGGAAAGATAGGGACTAAGAGAAAGAGGGAGTCACCATTAAGGGAAGTCTGAGGTGGAAAGGAGCCAGGGCTAGAATACAGTGTTGAAGGTGGGAGTGGAAATCAGAATTGGGGTTCAGGGAAAAGGATCAGCTGGTAATCTAAGAAAGGATCAGAAATGGGGTTGGTGGTTCAGGGGTAAGAGAGATTCTCTCCAGATGTACTTTCCCTTAGGGAGTCTGAAATAACAGGTGGCCTAGATAGACCAACACTCAGGCCGTGTCAACATTGGGGACTAAAGAGCAAGTGATGTGGCCATCAGCATCTGCAGGAGAGGTAGTCAGTCCATCTTCACCCCCCTGCCCCCATTCATCACCCTCAGCAGAACTTACCCAAATCCAAGGCTGGAGAATTTCAAATTGTGCCCCGCCTTACTCCCCCAGCCGCCAACCTCCATGTTTCTAAAGCCCCCATCAAGCCCCATTTCAGACGAGGCTTCCCAGAGTAGGGGGCAGGGGCATATCCTAATTCCCTCAACCTAAGCCCATAGAAAGTCCTTTTCCAAATCTAGCCCATATTCCTCTTACTGCAAGGACTCTTGCTTTGCTCACTTGCTCTATAATCGAGATTGTGAGATTGGGGAGGTTGTCGTGGGGGTCTGGACATGTGTGAGCCTGGAATGGTTTGCAAGAAGTCAAGATCTAGGGGTTCTGGGGAGCTCTGGTCTGGTTTTGAAACAGTTGAGTGGGATTCCTGGATCCCCAGGCTTGCAGGGCTTGGCGTGGTGCCTGGGAGGCGCCAGTCCTGGGTCTGGGGAGGTGTGAGGTGCACTTGGGTTGGGGCAGGGCTGTCTAGGGAAGGGACTGGGAGCATTGAGAAGTGGAGGGTGGCTGGAGGTATCAGTTCTATGATGGGGAGAGCAGAGACCGGGGTGGGAGGTGGAGGCCCAGGTACTGGGGGGTCCCAGTGGCATCCCTGGAGAGCTCCAGGACTAAACCGAGGATTTAAGGTGACCAACTACAAATGAGTGTTCCAGGGATACCTTAAGAAGTAAATGTTGGGGGGTGGAGGACTAGGCAGGAGGAGCTGTAGATCCAAACTGGGCAGCCTGGAGGTGATCAGCATTTGGGGGAGTATTTTGGAAGAGTAGACATATGCATACCATCTGAGGGTCTCCTCGGCCTTCCCATCAAGCAAACACCCTTCATCCTCTTGGGTCAGAACAATGGAGAGAGACACCTGCGCTCAGCCAGCCATAGAATTGAGGGTCCCCAGACCGCCTCTTGTCCCCTCACCCTCCTGCTGGGTGAAGTAAACACCATGAGAGCCTTTGGATCGCTGTCTGGAGGGAACATGGAAAGTTCTGACCCTGGGGTGTCCCCACTGGTCCAAGGTTCACGCAGATCAGCTGACCCAGTTGCTCCCCCATCTTAAAGGTGGGAAATATGAAGCCTCCCAAAGCTGGGTCTGGGACTAAAAACCAGGCTCTGGTTTCCCACTGTCTCTCTGCTCCCTGTCACACCCTTCTCCAGAAACAATAAGGAAATGAAAGGGGAGAAATTGCAGCCTCCTGGGTGGGGGTGCAGGTCCCTTGAGGGCTTCCCCCCAATCTCAGCCCCGCCCTGTAGGGGGAGATCCGGTTCAGACCCGGACATTAGGGGTTCATCCCAGTCACGGGCGTGGGAAAGCCTAGGGTGGATTAGAGCAGCTGGAGTGCTTGAGGTCAGACCTCAAGGAGGACTTCCGGGTGGGTAGTGAGCCAAAAAAGGAGGGCCCTGGGGTCCCAGAGAGCTCAAGGAGATTTAGAAACTCTCTGCGGATCCACCTGAGTCCATCACCTTTCCTGCTCATCCCTTCCCTTATTCTTGAGAGGGCAAAAGCTGCCGACCTGGGGAAACCAGTGCATGGACCAGGGGAGGAACTGTGGCTCCAAGTTCAATGTGAGACCTCTGGGGAGACAGAGATGCTGAGGGAAGGAAGATAAACAGATGCAGAGATGTGCTGCAGGAGGAAGGGGTGGGATGGGAGGGGAGATATGGGGGTGGGGGAGCTGGGGAGGGAGGTTGGGGAAAAATAGATGGGGGTGGACCTCGGGGAGAACAGACAGGGAAAGAAAAAGGAGGAGGTAGAGAGACCCGGAGAGGAAGAGGAGTACACATACACCAAGAAAGGGAAAAACAGACAGATACTCGGACTGGACCTTGGGGCCAGCAGGATCCGGATGGTTTCCACTAACCCATAGCCAAGGTGGCTCTAGCCAGAGCTCTAGCAGCACCCTAGCACCCTGAGACCCCAATTGGGACAGACTGGGGCAGCTGGAAGTCTGAGGATGAGAGGATGGAAGACAGTGGGTGAGCTGAGCTGTGGGTACATAAAGAGAGGCCACCGTGTAGCACACTGTGCGCTCACGGTCTTCCCCGGACTCTCAGCTCCAGGAGGACAGGCACTTCCACCTGTCTCCATTTCTGCTTTTTTTTTTTTTTTTTTTTAATTTTTAATATTTATTTTTTAGTTCTCAGCGGACACAACATCTTTGTTGGTATGTGGTGCTGAGGATCAAACCCGGGCTGCACACATGCCAGGCGAGCGCGCTACCGCTGAGCCACATCCCCAGTCCCATTTCTGCTTTTTTATTTATTTTCTTTTTAAAATTTTTGAGGTGTAGATGGACACGATACTTTTATTCTATTTACTTATCTTTATGCGGTGCTGAGGATCGAACCCAGTGCCTCACTTGTGCTAGGCAAGCACTCCACCCTGAGCCCTAGCCCCAGCTATTTTGTGTGTGTGTGTGTGTGTGTGTGTGTGTGTGTGTGTGTGTGTGTGTGTGTGTATTTTGAGGTGCTGGAGAGGAAGCCCACAGCACTTTTCCATGGAGCCACATTTCCAGCCCTTGCTCTCTGCTTTTATTGCAAGATCCACGACATAGGTCTGGGCCTCAACTTTTCAGCTGTAGCTGTAGAAGCTCACAGCATCCTCATAGCACTTCCCCCAGAGTGTGGGTCTAAGGACATGAGGAGCTGACAGTTCCTGGGAAGTGCTTGGAGCGGTGCCTGGCACAGAGTTGGCTGATGACTACGTGTTGAATGGATCATTGAGTGACTGTATAGACGGTGATTTTGATTTTGGTGCTGGGGATTGAACCCAGAGAGACTTAACCACTGAGCAACATCCCCAGCCCTTTTTATTTTGTTTGAGACAGGATCTCACTAAGTTGCTTAGGGCCTTGCTAAATGGCTGAGGCTGCCTTTGAATTTGCCATCTTCCTGCTTTAGCCTTGTGAGTCATTGGGATTATAGAAATGTGCCACCATACCTGGCTACAGGGTGATTTTAAAATGTGCAGAATGACTAACATATTTCATTGAGCTAACGTGCACTTTTTCCCCATTTGAACATTTCTGAGAATGGGTTATGTTGTATAATCCATGATATCTAGTGATTTTTTTTTTTTTTTCTTTTTTTTTTTTTTTTCTTTTTTTTTTTTTTTTTTTCTCTTTATGTAGGAGAAATATACTACCACTCAGCCTCTACTGTAAGGCTGGCAGCCCTGAGAACCTCTTTGTTAATGTAGCATGTTATGGATGCATTCCTGCCCCTGAAGGAATGAGGGGCAGACATTTCCACATGCAATCTAGTGATTTTTAACTGTGGGGTTTTTTTCATTTATATTGACATATAAAATAATGCTATAGCTTACAGTCAAGTGTTAGATTTGATGGTACATAGAAATACATGTGTTAGGTAAAACTGTGATTTCTGATCTTTTTTTGGGAGTGGGGTGAGTACTGGGAATTTAACCCAGGGCACTTAACCACTGAGCCACATCCCCAGCCCTTTTTATTTTTTTTATTTTGAGTCAGGGTCTTGGGTCTTGCCAAGGTTCTGAGGCTGGCTTTGAACTCATGATCCTCCTGCCTCAGCCTCCTGCTGCTGGGATTACGACCAGCACCACCAAACCCCGCTGATCTTGATCTATAAAAACAGTAATTTTTAAACTGACGTGTTGATGTGTGCCCATGGTCCCAGCTACTTGGGAGACAGGCAGAAGAATCACTTGAGCCCAGGAGTACAGGGCCAGCCTGAGCAACAGAGTAAGACCACTCAAAAACAAACAACTAAACAAACAAAAAAACCCTGTAATTTTATAACTTAAAAGATTGATAAAGAGCTCTACAGATGATGAGATTATTAGCAATTTATATTAAGTACTTATTAAAATTGAAAAGTACAAATTTATTAGATAAATTAGTTTCTCAATTGACTTGGTTAATTTTGATTGATTTCTCATTTTTTTAAATCAAAAAAATTGATTCCGCAAGTTTCGCACAGTGGCAATGTCATTGCCAATGACATTTAAATGAGGTGTGAGGATTGGTAATTGAAAACAACTTTCCCCAATATAGTCGGCGTTGGCAAGTTTTGATAGTCTCTACAGAGACTGAATTTTTCTAAAAAACTGATTTTATTTGGTTTCAGGATGTCTCTACACTTTTAAAATTTACTGAAGATGGTAAGAAGTGGTCTGCTAAGGTTTGCCTAGCATATATGAGGCCCTGGGTTCCATCTCTAATACCATATTTAAAAAACAATGAAGATAGAAACTGTTTGGGGTTCTGTGTGTTGACGTTTACCATATTCAAAATTAGGATGAAGAGATTTTAAATGTATATTAAGTCATTTTAAATTAACAATCATTTATTAATACAAAGAACATGTTTTTATTAAAGCAACTACATTTCAAAACTTTAGTGAGACAAGTGGCACTGTTTCACACTTTGCCAAGTCGAGTCTGGCTTGATAGGAGAGCTGGAGTCTCGTAGCTGCTTCTCATAGTCCCATCTTTTGCAATGTCGCTTGCCACGGAACTTCTGGAAAAGTCCACCGGACATCGTGAGATGGTTCTGAACACGGTTTTGACCTCATGGACACCCTAAAGGTGTCCCTAAAGGGTTTCAGATTTCCCCAGGGTGTCCCTGACCACAATTTGAGAGCCTCTTCGAACATGCCCTTGATAGTGTGGGGGCCGGGGGTACAGAGCTGGTGTACAGGGAGGGAGAAGAGACTCTGAAAGACAGCTGCCTTCAGAGGGAGATAATGAAGGAAGAGGTTTTTATAGGAGGTGGACAGGCAGCATGGACACCTGCTAACCCTTCCTCCTGTCTCTCTTTCCGCAGGTCTACTCTCCAGTGACCCCAGTGCCCACCATGGCCCCTCTCAACTCCTACATGACCCTGAACCCTCTGAGCTCTCCCTACCCCCCTGGAGGGCTTCCCTCCTCCCCACTACCCTCAGGACCCCTTGCGCCCCCAGCTCCTGCAGCGCCCCTGGGGCCCACCTTCCCAGGCCTGGGTGCCAGTGGTGGTGGAGGCAGCAGCTCAGGGTACGGCGCCCCGGGACCTGGGCTGGTGCACGGGAAAGAGATGCCCAAGGGGTACCGGCGGCCCCTGGCTCATGCCAAGCCGCCATATTCCTACATCTCACTCATCACCATGGCCATCCAGCAGGCCCCAGGCAAGATGCTGACCCTGAGCGAGATCTACCAGTGGATCATGGACCTCTTCCCTTACTACCGGGAGAACCAGCAGCGCTGGCAGAACTCTATCCGCCACTCTCTGTCCTTCAACGACTGCTTTGTCAAGGTGGCGCGCTCCCCAGACAAGCCGGGAAAGGGCTCCTACTGGGCCCTGCACCCCAGCTCCGGGAACATGTTTGAGAACGGCTGCTACCTGCGCCGCCAGAAGCGCTTCAAACTGGAGGAGAAGGTGAAGAAAGGGAACAGCGGGGCCTCTGCCTCCAGGAACGGTACAGCGTCTGCCACCTCCACCACCCCGACTGCCACAGTCACCTCCCCGCCCCAGCCCCAGCCTCCACCCCCCGAGGCAGAGGCCCAGGGAGGGGAAGATGTGGGGGCTCTGGACTGCGGCTCGCCCCCTTCCTCCACACCCTACTTCACTGGCCTGGAGCTCCCCGGGGAGCTGAAGCTGGACGCGCCCTACAACTTCAACCACCCCTTCTCCATCAACAACCTGATGTCGGAACAGACCCCGGCACCTCCCAAACTGGACGTGGGGTTTGGGGGCTACGGGGCTGAGAGTGGGGAGCCTGGGGTCTACTACCAGGGCCTCTATGCCCGCTCCCTGCTCAATGCGTCCTAGCAGGGGGATGGGAACATGGTGGTGGGGTATGGCTGTGGTTCACGCCAGCAGGCTCTTGGGGCCTGGTCCTTCTGGTGACACGTTGCTTGTCCCATTGGCTAACACCTCGTTTGGTCTATTACTTACTGTGATGATCCACTGGGTACTGTGATAACCGCCATGGACATCCTGGTGGGCCCGTGGGGTACTGCGAAGACTGTCATGTTGATTGATGTTATGGGTTGATCCGTGGGGTGCTTCGATGGCCGCCATCTGGGACAACATCTTGGGTGGCTCTTTGGATTCTGTGATGGACATTTTGATGGACACTTTGGGCACAGTGGTGATATCATTTCAATGGCATATTTGGCCCATTGGGGGCTCTGGTGTCCTTGGCCACCATCCTGCATGACATCTCTTTTGGCCCATGGGGTGTTTGGACGTTTACCTGTGGGCCAGGTGACACCATTGTGCACCAGGATGACCACACAGCCCCGCGTGCACCATGTGGTCAGTTGTCTCTTCAGTGCGGGTCGGGTGGGGTTGGAGGCTCATCCCCCACCCTGGTCCAGGAGACCCCAGAAGTGGCTGGTCAGGGTGTGGGGAATTTCTACTGAAGTCTAGTTCTTGCCTGGGAAGCGGGATACTGGCTGTGTGACCATTAAAGGCACGTGTCTGCCTCTCACTGACCGTTTCTTTTCCTTGGCGGGCCCTGCAGAGCTTGAACACCTGACTTTCTGTTCCCCTGTCCCCTCTCCTTTCTGCCCCCAAGAGCTGGCTTCCTTTGGGGGAAGGGCTGAGGGAGGCACTGACCTGACCTTTGGCTCTTTGCTGTCCCTGACCCCAAGGACAGTTTGTTCATCGATAGCAGCCCCCGCAGCAGTGGGGCCAGAGCAGCAGGGGGAGGTGGCTCTGTGGTGACCAAGGTTATCTCCCTGCCCCCACTTCGCAGATACTCACCTTTAGCTCTGAGGCTCGGAGCCTAGGGGCTGCTCATGTCTTGGTTAGGCTGGGGGTGGGGGTAAAGGTTAGATGAGGTGTTGAACTGGAGGCCTTGTGCATGTTGGAGGGTATGAGTGCAGCCTGCTCTGTGGCTGCGGAGCATGGCTGCGTGGCGGCTTTCCTGCCGTCTGCTGCAGGGGATCTACTTGCTTGTAGCCCTCGTTGGGCGGGTTTGTGTGTCTGTCCATACTGTGGGCATGGGCTCACTCTGGGTCACAATATCAGACTCGTGTGTGTATCTTTTTGTTCCATGTTTCTCTGTGCACCTCTCCCTGGGCCTCACACCTGCAGGTCCCTGTGTATCACTGTGTCTCCATACTGCCTCCACAAGAGTGTGTGGGTGACGGCTTCCATGTCTGCCTGCTGTTGTGTGTGTGTGTGTGTGTGTGTGTGTGTGTGTGTGTGATTCCTATCTCGGCCGTGTGCCTGTCACATTGTGTTTGTGTGTGAGTTTGTGCGGAGTTTGCTGGCTGTCCCTTGCAGGCAGGTGGGTGTGTGGGGAAGGAGCTGGGTCCTCCTCTCCAGGCTTGGGGTCTGGGGTATCTGTTCCTCCAGGGCTCACCCAGGTGAGGCTGTCCCAGAAACACAGCCCTGCACTCCACACCCCTCTTTTCATTATGGAAACTGAGGCCCAGAATGGGAAGGGTCTGGGCCAGGTCATTCAGCAGGGCTGAGACAGGTGGGCAGGTTAGGGGTGTGTGTGTGTGGGGGGGGTACTCAGGTTGAACCCTGGGGTGCTCTAACTCAGTGCTACATCCCCAGCCCTTTCTAATTTTTATTCTGAAACAGGGTCTTGCTAAGCTAAGTGGCTGAGGCTAGCCTCAAATTTGCAATCCTCCTGCCTCAGCCTCCTGAGCTGCTGGGATCGCAGGTGTGTGCCACTGTGCCAGGCTCTGACGGTGGCTTGTCCTCACTTTGCTTTTGCCTTTCTTGGTGGCATTGGCTTCTCTGGTCGCCCTGACCACTCATTCATTTCTTCAGCCAGCCAGCCATTCCGTCATCCAAAGACCAGAGACTCTGTTCAGCCACCTGTGAGTGAGTGACCGCCTGCTCCTCCGGTCTCCCAGTTCTCTCCTTTCTCCTAGTCTCAGTGTCACTCTGTCCCCAACTCTTCTCTCCCTTTTCTGTCATTCTGCCCTCTCTGGGTCTCTGGCTCTTCCTTTCTCTTGGGTTCCTCTCCTGGATCTTTTTCTGGCTCTCTGGTCTGGCTTCCCTGGCCTCCCGCCTCCTCCCAGGTCCGGAGTTTCCGCCTCTCTCTACCTGCCACCTCGCAGGCCAGGCCCTCTATTTCTGTCGCTGTGCCCGCCTGGCCGGCTGCGTGTCACCCCCGCCCCCTGCCGTGCTGGCACCCCGTCGCCGTCCACCAGCCTTGCTGTCCCGGGCAGGCCGGGGAATTCCTCCTGGTTCCTGGAAAAAACAACTGGGGCCGAGAGAAAGGCCCTCAGTCTCCCGGGCCCCCGCCCCCTCCCGCGGGCCTGGGGGTCTCTCCGGAGTCCTGGGCCCGAGGCAGGAAGCCCTGCGGTTTCTGGCTTCTCCCCGCGGCCTCCGGATCTGGCCCCCGCCCCCCGCCAACAGCCCAAATATTATTCCGCGGGAGGAGTCGGTGGTGGCGGGAGGAGGCCCAGGCTGAAAGAGGCTTTCAGGGCGGCCAGGCCTGGGGCTTCCTGTCCCCAGGCTCGGGCCTCAGGCCGCCCCAGTAGGGACCTCAGGTGGCCGCAGGGGCGGGGTGTTGTTGTAGGGTCCTTAGGGGAAGGTGGGGCCATCCCTCAGGGTGTCTGGTGGCCACGGCCGGCTGGCGTGGGCAGGTGTGACCCTCACCCAGGGACAGCCGGCTGATGTCCAGGGTGGAAAAGTACCACGGTCAGACACGGGACGCATGGACAGACAGGAGGACGCCAGGGATGAGGGATGGAGGGGTAGCCATGGGGACACAGCCGGGCTTGGGCTAGGCGCCTGAGGTGACACAGTCCAAGGGAGGGGCCTTTGGGTGGGGAAACAGAGGATAGGGCAGGGTCCCTTCTGTGGGCAGAGGGCCACCCTTGCATCAGAAGGTTTGAGACAGTAATGAGGCCACCGATGATAATATATAATAATTAGAAGCTCCTGAGGCTGGCGCAGAGGCAGGCCCTAACGGCAGCTACTGGGGAGGCTGAGGCAGGAGGAGCCAAGTTAAAGCCAGTCTCAGGAACTTAGTGAGGCTAGAAGCAATCTAGTGAGACCCTGTCTCAGAATAAAAAATAAAGGGCTGGGGATGTGGCTCCATGGTAAAGTGCCCTTTGGGTTCAATCCCTGGTACCAAATAAATTAATTAATTAATTAATAAAAATTTTAAAAGCTAAGGTGTGGGTGGAGCTGTGTCTAGTGGTAAGGCACCCCTGGGTTTGATACCTGGGAGGTGGGGGGCACTAGGGTTACCACGTGTCCAGCATTGTAGGAGCCCCCTACAGAACCGATCCATCCAATCCCTTCCAACTCCTCCCCCCTTAATCGTTGGTAAAACTGAGGCACAGAGGGGAGAAGTGACTTGCCCAGCGTCACACAGCCAGTGAGTGGTGTGTCAACTGACCCCAGGTGGTCTGGCTCAGAGTCAGTCTCATAGCCACAGCCGCTCTGGAGATGGGAGGGACAACAGCAGTACAATGGCCTGGGGGCCCGGCCGTCTGTGGTGGTCACCCCTGCTGCCTGCCACAACTTGCTGCTATGGAAGGCAGCACCCCTGAGGCCAGCGGTCTGGGTGCTTTACATACATGTGCATTGCTGTGCTTGTCACTGGGCTTCACTCATGAGCTTGGGTGTCGGGTGTCTGTGGGCGTCTCTCTTCAGGGTGTCGGTCTTGGGTTAGTGTCCACCACTGGGTTGATGTAGGGGTCACTGTGTTCATGTGTCTGTCTCTGTTCTGCCTGTCATGGTCTTCTGAGTCTGTCACTGTGGGTCTGCCTATATCTGTCACTGTGTGTCACTGTGTCTGTCCCCCTCTGCTATGTGTCACCATCTGCCCAGGTGTCACTGTGGGTGTTACTCACCACGCAGGCCACAGGTGGGCGTGTCGGGCCCACTGGTGCCAGGGCTGGGGCCCAGCCCATCCCACCCTGGCTGCCTGGGCCAGGCCAGGCGCCTGTTTGCAGTGCCTGCCCCAGGTAAACACCAAGATCCGGCCCGAGGCCGCCTCCCTGGCCTCTGCCCCTGCCCCTCTGCCTGCTCTGCTGGGCTGGGCTGGACCAGTCTACAGACCCCCTCCCCCTGGAGACGTGTCCTGGCTGCCCCCTGCCCTTGACACCAATGTCCCAAGTCCCTGCCTCGACCCCAGCCTGCTGTCTCATCCTCTCTGGGTGCCTCTGACCTGTTTCTTTCCATCCCGATTGTCTCTCACCCGGTTTCTCTGAAGCTCTGCCTTTCTCTGAAATGACCCTTGTCTTCATTTTGTCGGCGTCCCTCTCCCTGTGGCTTTTTCGCTCTCCAGTGAAGTTCCATTTCTTCCATGTGTCTCCAGAGGAGCCAGTGACTCTGTCTGCCACTGCCTGGCTCTGGGCTGTCAGAGCCCCCAGGCTCAGTACCCTCTCGCTAAGTTTCTTAGAGTCTCTTGCTCTTAGCCACTATGTCTGCGGGTCTCTGAGCCCCCAGCCCCCACAGGGGCCGACTCTGCCATGCCAGGGCCCTTAGGGGAGAGTGCGGCCCCCAGCCTCCCGCCCCAGCCCTCTGGTCTATCTATATAAAGGTATATGCACATATTATTTATATCTGTACTGGGGCAGGAGGGGCAGACACTGGGGCCTTTGTGCAGCCGCTGCCCGCTGCCTGCCTGCTTGCCACTCCTCTCCCTTGGTCCCTGCCGCCTGCGCGCCTACACCCCCCACCCCCAGGGCACAGAAAGGTTCCTGTGGGGCCTGCCAGCTTCCTCTGCCCAAGGTGTGAGTGGGCACGCCACGGTGGGGCAGGCAGGGAGGCCCGGGGGGGGGGGTTTCCAGCTCCTGGGAAGCTTTCCGGGTGGGGAGGGTTCTGGAAGGAATGGGACTCTTCAGCTGGGCTGCTGTCTGTCTGTCTGCATCTGTTGTCCCTGGGTGTCCCCAGGTCCTTAACTGGCCTCTCCCTGGGGGTCCGTGAGTCCATCCACCTAGATGTTTGAATTTTTCTTTGTCACTTTGGGTCTCATTCACTCGTGCGCACATGGTCATCGGGCACATGCTAGGCCCTCTGTGTAGCACTGGACACAGAGACCTATGTCTGACCTGGTTGAGTCTTGGCCATTTCTGTCTCATTTGCTCCATTCCTTTAGCCACTGTTGAAACTTTCCACCTGTTCCTATTCAAATGAAATCCAAAGTCATTATCAGAGCCACTGCTCCTGTAGTTCCCCCATGATCCCTCTGATTTCATTTCCTGACTTTCCCCCATGCAGCAGATGCTCTGGCCATCTGACCGCTTCCGGGATAAACTACCTCAGGGCCTTTGCGTGCACTATCCAGGGAGATTTCCCCTGGCTTGATCCTCCTGTTCTTAGAGTCATCCCCCTTCACTACATTCCTCCTACAACAGCCCTCTGCCACTCTTCATCTCCTTTCCCTGGTTTC